AAAAATAAATAAAAAAGAAAATGGTATTAAGATTTAAAAAAAAATTTTTTTTTATCCACTTCGTGAGGGAGATAACTTACTGACAGTGTTTAAGCCCAAACTGGTTGACCATTTGAGGGAGGAGCATTTCAGAGCAGATTATTGCTCCTGGGGCTTCTTTCAGTGCAAATCGGGATGTGTTTGCTGAAACTTAAAATTAACTGTAGTTCCTCCATAAGAATAACTCTGGGGTCTCAATCTCAAGATTAAAGAGATTTTAATCTACAGTACTGTGTTCTTATTATCCGTTCTTATATTAGACTCTATCCCTTTTTAAACACTTGGCAAAAATATCAAAATTTTGATTTTATTTATGGTTTGGGGGGGGGGGCAATTCATAATTGTTGAAAGCAGAATTTCCAGAAGGATTCAAAAGAAAGTAATTATCCTTTTAGGATGAGAAAGCCAGTAGCAATGATTAAATCAGATTCTGGTTTAAATAGTCACACAACACCCTCTTACCCTTTGGTTCTAGTTCAGGGAAGTGCTCAGACCTTTTAATAATTACACACTTTGCTTCACTGATAAGATTCCCAGTCCACATGACAGGCTTTGGTGGCAGCTGTATTTTCTTCTTGGCACTCTGTTTTTCCTCTCTTCACCCTGGCCCCTCACTCACCTCCATGTGTGCCCAGCTCAAAAGCTGAGATTTCCATCTGTAAAGCCTGTTGCCACAGGATACAGAATTCACTAGGGAGGAGGGAAAACTGCCTGTGTATGTTTAAGGCTGGTGGCTCTCATAATCAGATAAACGTTGTGGAAAGCTTGCTCATTCATATGGAAGAACCAGTGCTGCAGCTAAATGGTGGAGCCACTGAGCTCCAGGCCCTGGCATCTGCTCGCTAGCCCTGCCCAGCCAGGAGCACATTTACTTGCGGTACTGAAGAGCTGATGAACATCGTCACTTTTGCCTTCAACAGTAGCCTTTCTGTGAATCCCACGGAGAAAAGGCTGTTCCCCCCCCCCTTTTTTTTTAATGAAACGATGAAATTGATTACAAATAGGAAATCCCATGTGACTTTTTCACTCTTGACTTCTGTGATATAACCTCTCTTCCCCTATAAAAAATCTCTCAGCTATCAAAGACTTCTGCCTCCTGTCAATTTTGCAGCCTGCGATTCTGTTCTGCTTCCTTCCTGGTGACATTAATCTTGAATGAGTGATGGTGCAGGCGAATGCCCTGAACAGTCCTGAATATAGCCCGATTTTTGAGGAGAGGAAGCTTCCCAGTTCCTGCCATTTGATTGACCATGATTTAGCTTCTTAGGCAAATTCTCTCTTCACCTGGAAATTCCCCTTTGCACTGTGGACAGAGTGTCCTTAGCCTTGGGATCATACCAACATTGAGAACTAGAGGAAGAGCTTGAATGTGCACTTCTTCATTCCCTCCTTCTCCTCCCTATGCCCCTCCTGACTCCAGGAAATGTTCATGTTCTTGAATTGTGTTGTAAGTTTACTTATATTTTCTAAGCTGGAAACTCAGAACGTCCCTGGCCTCCATGAGCACAGGCATTGTTGGGTGATTTGGGTTGCATTTGTTTATCTTCTCCACACTCACACGGTTTGCCTAGCTTGGCAGCCTGCTGGCCTGGACAATAATAAAGCTTCTGTCGAGGTGAGCAAACAGCTGATGGCACGGGGCACAGAGGGGACTCCTACAGTGGCCGCCTGTAATCTGCCGGGCTGGTGGTCAGAGCAGGCGAGAACAAAAGCCAGTTTGTTTGCAGGGGAATTGGAAAAATCAATGTGTTGGTTGTGTTCTTGTCTCTTTGCCTTTCTTCTGGCTGAAAGGGAGAATACTTGTTCAGAAGTCCACAGAATGACTCCAGGCAAGTACCCACTCTGGAGACTTACCTGCCTGTCATGTTCCCACTGGCAGTTCTGAACAGGGCCCAGGTTTATCTGTTTGAACTGCTTAAAACATCATGGACAAAGGAATTCTCAAACACACCCTCCAAAGTGGGATGGACCCTACTAGCTCAGTGGTTTGAGTTCATATTCTCGACAGCCAGATAACACACGTGAGTTTGTGTGCTAATTTCTTTTTTTTTTTTTTTTTTAACACTGATAAGGGCTTAGAAAGGCATTTATTTGCTGCCTGGCAGGAAGTACTCGCTGCAGTTTGGGCAGCATATTTCATGATATATGTGTAAGCGTTTCCCTCTTATTCCTAAATTGATTTCATGTGCTCACTTAGTTGAACATGTCCTAGAATGGTGGTGTATCTGCATTACTAGACCTTAGAAAGCAGACAGAGATCATACGAAGTAGCCCTGGTCCAGGAGGAGGGAGAGTCTGTTGACAAATCTCTCAAAGGCTGCTGTGCTGAGATGATTATATTGGATGTGTGAAGTCTTGAGCAACTTTCCCTCTAGGCTTCTAACGAATCGAAGTGTGAGAAGAAAAGACCTTTGAAAAGACAAAAATCTTTCTTTTCCACCATGTATAAAAGTCTCAAAAAGTTAACAAATGACTTGAAACAAATTTCATTTTGAGCTTGGAAGGTCAAAACCTAGGTCCTATTAATCTTGGTTTTCTTTCAAGCCTAAAAATGGTCTGCTGTTCCTGAATAAGAAAAAAGGGTATTTGATTGGATTTGGTCACGGTGCTCTTATTTTAAAAGACTATCAGAAAGAAAAGTCATAATTTTTGTGGTCATTTGACACAGACTGAGGCAGAAGATTAGATTTTAAAATGAGGTTTAAGCTTAGAATAATCTTGGATAGAGAAGGTAACTGACATTTTTAATTTTGTTTGGTTTTAAAGGAAAAATGGACTGAACCTAACAATCACTGCAACCCCAGAACACTTCTCAGCAGCTAGCAGTGCCTTTGTCTCCTAGCCCTTACTGTGTTCTACTTTGTACTCTTATGAAACTATGTTTGTGTACTTTGTTTTTGTAATGAAATTAGAAATGCCCCAAACAAGGAATTTACAGTTCTTCATGTACGCCATAGATGTTAGCAAAATGACCAGCATGTAATAACATTTTATACATTTGTTAACTGAAACTTTTTTTTTTTTTTTTTTTTGCTGAAAACCTACTATGGGCCACCAAGCGTGTGAGGCACCAAGGAGTCAGTATTAGACAAGTCAGCGTTCCCCACCCCCCCACTCCAGGGAGCTTACAGGCCAGTAAGGCAGCATCACCTTCATGCAGGCAGTACACCTGGTAATTCTTTTGAATTGTTTCTTTAAAAAATGAAATAAACTTTCAATTGGCCATTATACTTCAAATCTCAGATTTTTCAGAGTAACAAGGAGAGGAACTCAGGTAGCTCAACTATTGACTTTAAAATGTGAGGGAAAGCTTGAAATGCTAAAAGATTTGTTTCATTTCTACACAGAGGATCTAATTAGATCTAGTATCTTAGCCAGTCTTTCTCTGGCTAAGAGAGGTCATTTTCATCCGAAACATAGTTTGACATATTTCTATCTTTCCGCTTTTATTTTTTTAAGCTGTATAATTTTTCTTTTTTTTTTTTAAGTAAACTCTGCCCCCAACGTGGAGCTTGAACTCATGACCCCAAGATCGAGAGTCATATGCTCCACAGACTGAACCAGCTAGGTGCCCCATCTGTCTTTTTGCTTTTAAAGGAGTTAATTCTGTCAAGAAAAATAGAGTGAGAAATAATTTCCAGTGAAATGTAAGATATTCTAAAGTCTAGAGAGGGTTAGGTGACTCTATATCCATAAAACATCTTCAGATCTTATTTTTGCCAAATTTCTCACCAGAGCACTAATAAATATCCTAAATTAAATACTACTTCACACTTCCTCTCTTTTTCTCAGCTTTTACTTTGGCAGAGAACCTGTTCAGCAGGAAACTATCCCCATAGCAGATGGCAGGAAATAGCAGGTGGCAGATTGAATAACCAGCTTCTAAAAAACACTAGTATTAGCTGTATCCTCGACTCAAATATGGCACAGAATCCTTTTGCTCCAAGTTTTTGTCTTACCTTTTTTATGAAAGAAAACAGTTTGATTTTTGTAGGGCCTGGAGATTGATGTGCTTCCTGAACAATTAAAGAAAAGAAGAGGACTTTCCCCTGACATAAAACGATGTTTAGTCAAAGCAGATAGACAGAAAAAGGATCACAAAACTCTTTAAACACCTCTGCACAGCCTTGTCTCCCCTCTCCCTCCGTCTTTGGCAGGAACCCTCAGGCGCAAGAAGTCCCCCAAGCCCAGGTATCACCAGGGTGTGCAAACTTGAAGCAGGAGCAGCAGTCAGAATCCCTTTCAAAGTTCCGTTCCTCTGTAGGGCACCATTACCACGCACACCTCACCCCGGGCTGCTTAAGCCTTTTAAAACCGCGTGGGCAGCTATGGGAAGCAAAAGGAAGTGGAAAAACTAAAGAGCTAGAATGGAGCTTTGAAGAGGGCAGTGGGGGGTGAGGATCCTGGAAGACCTGGATATTGTGCTCAATTTTTATTTTTTCCACGGTTTCTGTTTTCTCTTGGTTCAGTAAAGAGTGTCCTGATGTCTCCCAAGTGACACAAGAATCATCAGTATAACTCAAAGCTGACTTCCCTCCCCAAAGTTGTTATGCTATTCCAGTCTTCATTTTTGCTTCATCTGTTTTATTTTAAACTTCAAAAGTGTCAGCTTCAGCCTCACATCTCTCTTCTAACGAAGTGCATATTTGTGTAACAATGCCATGGTTAGTAAATGCCAGATCATTTTTTATAAAGCACATATCCTAAAACAAGATGTTGAATCAAGAGGTGTTAAGTAAAGAATACAGTATTTATAATACTTTGTTATTTATTATCCAGCCTTCTCTTTCCCATTTCATAGTTTACAGTTAACAGGTTTTATCCTCAAGTTTTTATTGACTCTTCACTTTTATTACTTTTGGTTATATCGATTTCATGTCTGTAAATATCTAAGAGGATTCATTTTAGCATTGACGTTTCAGAGTTAATACCAGTTTTCTGTCTTCTTATGCTTTATTTAGATTTCGACACAGCCCCAACTGCTGGTACCTGAGAGACTGGACTATCCACACCTGGATTAGGCAGTGTTTAAAATACGGTGCACAAGACAAAGCCTTATATACTCTTGTAAACAAGGTAACTGGTTTCCTGGAATTTGCAGCTTGTTTTCCTGAGGTTAGATGATAATACCTACAAAGAATACAGCAAAGAATAGGACAAGAAATAACTTCTGATGTTTATTTGCTTGCAGATATCCTTTTCAGAATGGAACCGAATATAAGTTAATCAACAGTTACGTGTAAAAATTCCCATAGCTGCTGTTTTTCCACAGCTAGTGACTCAGAAATGACAGCTAAAAGCAAAAGCGTATTCACAAGAGCTCTGCCCTTGTGGTTCATTTCATTCTTGGTCCCTAAGATTTGGATTTCTTGCCTGGTTTCCTTTGGTAATGTTTAGGGAAAAAGACATGACCATTTTGGTGGAATGTGATCTCCAGAGTATTCAGACTACCTTGGACAGTTTTTAAAAGATGAGTATTTCTAGGTTATTCAAAACCTGTCTGCTGAATTCTCAGACCCCTCTCCTTGGCCCCCAGAGTCCCCTATGATTAGGGTTTTTCTGAATGTTACATTCCACTAGGGTTCCAGTTTTCATTACCTCGATAGTATGAAATAAAGTACAAAATAAGCAAAAATATGAATGTTATTTTTGTGAGTCTCAAGGTATAACCCTAATTTGACTCATGATAAGATCTAAACAATATTTCTGTACAAACATTATCTCTATGTTAAAACTTAAAAGGATATCATAATTTTGGTTTTTTTTCCCATAACTTGGGCCCAGTTCGACTAAATCTACATTGAGCCACAACCTTTAAAACAATGACTTCTAAACCCTCTTTCCATTTCAGCACTTCTGAGGCGTCCAATACAGCCTACTATAACAGTGACTCAGTTCAGTAGTGATTCACAGCTGGGGGGTTAGGACTGTCAGACTCTCCCCAGAGGTGATATTATTTGAAAAAATTCCTCAGGTGTTTCTGGTAGTTGGTGGAGGAAGAATGGGGCAGGGTGGGGAATGGAATGGTAGTTAATCCTACTCAAGTAAGATTTTAAAACATAAAAATAGAGCCACAGTCTAGATCATTAGTAGTCAGATTTGATTGTGCATGAAAATCACATAGAAAACTCACTAAAATTTCAAGTTTCTGTGCCCTATCCCTTCAAGATTCTGATTCTGTAAGTCTGAGGTTTAGAAATCTGCATTTTTTTTCTCTTTTTTAAGATTTTATTCATCTATTTTAGAGAGGGAGAGAGTGAGAAGGACAGAGGAGGAGGGAGGGAGAAAGAGAATTCCAAGCAGACTCCCCACTGAGTGTGGAGCTCAACTCAGGGCTTGATCTCACAACCCTGAGATCCTTACCTGACCCGAAACCAAGAGTTGAATGTCGAACCAACTAAGCCACCCAGGAGCCCCAGAAATCTGCTTTGTTAAAAGTACAGGTAGAAAATACTGAGGCAGATGCTAAAGGGTCCACACTTTGAGAAGTCTGGATTCTCAGATATTTAGCTGCTCATGAACAGAAGCTCAGTTAGTAATATATTGTTGGCATATTTCTAAGGTCCTTAAAACCATTGTAAGAGTCAAGCAATAACAAGTGCTGGTGTGGACATGGTAAAAAGAGAATCCTTGTACACTGTTGGTTGAAATGCACATTGGTGCAGCCACTATGGAAGACAGTATGGAGATTCCTCAAGAAATTAAAAATAGAATTTCCATATGATCCAGCAATCCTACTTCTGGTATATATCCAAAGGAAATGAAAATAGGATCTCAAAGAGATATCTGCACCCCCACGTTCAGTGGAGCATTATTCACAATAGTCAACCATGGAAGCAACCCAAGTGTCCACTGATAGATGCATGGATAAAGCAAATGTGGTGTGTATGTATACAGTGGAGTATTATTCAGCCGTATAAATGACAGAGGTCGGGATGCCTGGGTGGCTCAGTCATTGAGCATCTGCCTTTGGCTCAGGGTGTGATCCTGGAGTCCCAGGATCGAGTCCCACATCAGGCTCCTTGTATGGGGCCTGCTTCTGCCTCTGCCTTTCTCTCTCTGCATCTGTCATGAATAAATTTAAAAAAAAAATTTAAAAAAAATGACAGAGATCTTGCCATTTGTGACATAAGTCAGAGAAAGACAGATACCCTATGATCTCCCTTGTTTATGGGATCAAAAAAGCCAAACCTGTAGAAACAGGGTGTAGAATGGTAGATTTCAGGAGCTGAGCGGTGGGGAAATGAGATATTGGTCAAAGGGCACAAACTTTCAGTCAAAAGATGGTTAATTCTGAGGATCTAACATAACAGCATGTTGACTATAATAAACAATAGTGTATTGGAAGTTGCTAAGATCTTATATGTTCTCATCACCACCACACACACACACACACACACACACACACAATGGTGCTTATGTGAGATGCTAGTTGTGTTAATGAACCTTATTGTGGTGATCGTAATCATTTTGCATGTATATGTGTATTAAGTCATCACGTTGTACACTTTAAACTTACATGATGTTGTTTGTCAACTATAACTCGATAAAGTTGAAGAAAAAATAAAGACCAGAAAATGCTGTATCATGTGATAATGTGCACTTCCTCATGAGAGTCCATTTTTGCATTGATTTTCATACCTTATAAAAGGAATTGGTGAATCAGTGGAGTATGAGGGCGGGGTTAGGGGGGCAGAGATTGTTGTTTTGGAGTTTTTTTGTTTTGGTTTTTTTTTTTTTTTTAGCTTTGATAAGATATTAGAATTGAGCTTTATTTTTCACATATCAGTTGTCTTATATCAGACACCCACTCACAACTTTCTTACCCTGACCAAGTTCCAATTACCAAACCTCATGAGTCACAGCTTCTGTTTCACTGTCACAGATGCTGTAAAATGATAGCCAAATATCTTAAAGCTAATGGTGGCAGGTTTTGTCATGAATAATGCATAGGCATATATTATAAACTAAGTGAAAGTGGATATTTTTCTCTTATTTTCCTTTTATTTTCATTACCATTACAGGTCCAGTATGGAATTTTTCCTGATAACTTTACATTCAATTTACTGATAGATTATTTCATAAAGAAAGAAAATTACAAAGGTAAGAAACCAAACCCAGATCCATTTATAATGGGGCCTTCAGCTTCTAAAGGGAAGCAAATACAGGCAATTTCCCTTTTTTTTTTTTTTCATAATGACCTCTCTTTATGTCACTCTTTCCATCAGAAATAGATACGTAGTTGATTTACCGTACCACTTGCCAGATAGGGAATCATATCCAGATTTTTTTCCTCCGAGTTTCTCAAGTTTATTTGTTCATGTCTCTGCAAAGGACAAAGGATTTAGTTAAGCCATAAACCTGCCTGAGCTTACATGGCTGGTTAAGATTATAATAATGCAATTTATTAGTTTGACTATTTTTAGTACCATTTGCTAACTTTGTTTAATTTAAATCATAGTTCTTATTCCATGTGAAATGGAAGACTATAAAATCAGTTGATTTCCTGGGAAAAGTAGTACCCTTGGAAAGTCCTTTTACCTCCCCAGGCTTTTGTTTCCTCATCTATAAGATAAGTAATATCTGAGATCTCTTTACCTCCGAAATTCCTTGATCCTGGGCAGTTAATTTGAAGTGACTCTTCACTTCTACTACAATAAGGGAATCTAAGGAAGATGAGGGTTGCAGCACACTGTACAGAGGAATCAGGTGGACCCCGGCCAGTGTCCGTGGGTTAGAGAATCATAGGACAGCATGTGTGTGCTCGTGGCTGTACGGACAGTGAAGAAGGAAAGAGGAGCCTTGCCATTGTGTAAAGGCACAGACCAGCTTTCCTCCTCCCCCATTTCATCCTCAGGCTTGGTGCTGAGGGCCGTGAGGGTAATTGCTACCTCAGGATTGTGGGCACTTAAGGATTTATGATAACTGTGATTCCTGCCATTGGGTTCCATCCCCTCATCCCTGTACACCAGCACCAATGGCCTTTCCCAGTGCATTCGTACTCAGTGCTTAGGCTGGGCACTGTTCACTCTTGGCCTGAGTGTGGGTACCTCTCCTTTCTCTCCTCTGGACCTCTGAGTTATCTTCTCTCTCAAAAGGCTTCCCGTTGTTGACTGCCAAAGAGTATTTGCCGTATATTATTTTTTGAAATGTCAATTATCCCTTCTTGTCTATTTCTTATTCAATTAGTTTTAAACCTACATTTTCTGAATTCAAGTGGAAGAGAATTAATTAGCTTTTCTGTTTCCAAATCTATGCTCCATAAACTTCAGATTTAATAGTATATCATTGGGGAGTTTTTAGAAGCAGCTTTCTCTCTTCATTCTCTCTTTAAAGGGCATGTTGGAAGGGTCACAGGATTCCCCCCCCCCCCAAATGCACGGTAAATATTTATTTAATATTGAGGATTTCTAAAAATAAAATTTTAATGAAGATTACTGTCATTTATGGCCAAAATTTAGAAAACATTATACTTTTTATTGTTAATAGGATAGGAAATAGCAAAGTACATAAACAAATATGGAAGAAAAGTTAATTAATTGTATAGGCCAATCTAATTTCACTTCCTAGGCTGAATGAAATGCAGAATTATAAGTAAAAGATAAAATAAGTTTGATTTATTTTTCATGTGTAATTTTGGATTCAGTAATGAGCAGTTGAAAAACCAGGGTTTTTTTTTTTTTTAAACTGGATTTTATCTTTAAATTGTGTTCTTTTAAAATATTGGTTTGTTTGGGATTGTTGTTTGTTTTAAATCTCTTCCAGGTCCTTATTTGCTACTGACTTAGTAGATGACTTGCTGATCTTTCTATCTCAGTTTCCCCATTTGCAAAAAGAATATAGAAGTTCTTGCCTGTGGTCTCATTTAGAACCATGACAACATGCACAAAGCCAGCTGGCTAGGAACAGCTGCAAGTCAGTGCTAACTCTTATATAATTATGATTATATGCAAAAATTGGTTAACACAGCAACTTAGTCAAAAACATTTGTTGTGCCTGTTTTATGTGCTGGCACCATATTTTAAACCAATATTAACATTCTCTAATTTAACAACAAATATTAAGGGAAAGAAATGGTCTGAACTTGATTTTCTTGGCTTCCATCTATGTTGTGGAATCTTAAGGGAAAATAAAAATTGCTCAAGATCTGATCTGCTATGATCAGCGCTCATGTGGTAACAAATATCTTCCATTGTATTTTATAGTCAAGGGCTTATAATTTATGAATGAGCATTTCCTTTCCATTCTTTCAAAGTCTTTTTAAGCTGAGCCTGATTATTCTTTTTATAGTCATCGGTTTTCTGTCCCTGAAAAGATACCTGGGATTTAGGATCATCTCTAGCATTTATCTTCTTTTGCCCCAACAGAAAGAAGGTTCCGGAACACAGAATGGGGCAGTCAGCCCAGTTTCTACTCTGCTTGTCCGGGGGGCCTGGAAAATATATTTGCCTCCTTTCTGTATGCCTTAGCTCTTCCAGCTGATGGACATGATGCATTAAATTTGCTTCACAATTTATGAGGCATTTTTATATGTACTATCTTGAGGGACTGCCCAATAATCTTTTGAAGTAGGTGGGACAAATGGTATCTTTTATCATCACAGGGATGATACTGGGAGAAGTTAGAACTTAAGTGGATTATTCCATTTCCTCAAGAACACTGGTCCCAAAGCACCTGACTTAGTACGTAATAGTACAACAGAAGCTAAAGACTTGGGAAAGATCTAGTTTGTGGAAGAACTAAGATCAGAGCTCACATATTTTGCTTCTTAATTCTATTTGTTTTTCTGTCGTGCCCCACTTTTTGAGTTTATAGTTAAATACAGATTTGGTGATGTTACCTGAAAGTAATTCCCTTTCATTTTTACTTTGATCTTTTTGCCAGATGCTTTATCTGTGGTTTTTGAGATCATGATGCAAGAAGCCTTTGAGGTACCTTCCACCCAGCTTCTGTCCCTCCATGTGTTATACCATTGCCTGGCCAAGAAGACAGACTGCAGTGTAAGCGGTCCCGAGAGCCTGAGAAGCGCGCGGTGACTCTTCAGCAGGGCTGAGGTGGCCATGACCCCACCATCAGCATCTGACATGGGGCTCTGTGGCCCCCAAACAGCCAGGAACGAGTGTTCCCTCTGTACATTCTAGCTACTGGTTTTTTGGCAGAGCAGAGCTGAACGTTCCTCCACATGAAAGAATCTCAAGAAAAAGTCCTTAAGCACATTTGAGACTTGAGCTAGGCCGAATGCCCCCCCCCACCCCCCGGACATTGAGAAATGGGTAACCGATTGTCAGCGACAGTTGAACCTGGTATCAAAGAAGCAGTGGGGCGGCTAACTGACCAACACCTCAGGTTTTAAATGCTGATTGTTCGGTTCGCATCAGTCTCTTCCTGAGGTCGCTCTGGTCAGTCCAGAATATCAGGTTTTGGTTTCCTCTCTTAGGTTAGTCTATTTAATCATTGTTGATTGTTATCCTAAGAATATCAACAGGAATAGCAACTAATACTTAAATAGTACATACTCTGCACCAGGCTGCATTCTTGGGGTCTTAAATTTATGAATGCATTTAATCCTCACAGTTCTATGTGGATGAGAAGCCTGGAGCACTGACTCGTTATGTAATAGCCACCCAGCTAGTAGGTGATGAAGCCGCATGGGGAGGCCAGGCAGTCTGCCCTGCAGTCTACCCTCAACTTCAAATGTAGCATCAAAAAATACTAGTTTTGGTAGGAACTGAAAAGGCCATCTAATCCAGCTCACATTCTAAAGAATTTATGGTGTGTTTAGCTTTTCTAAGAGGAGTGTCATAGCCTATGGCATACCTCACATTTATTAGTTCTTTAAATTTATATTGGGCAACTACTGCCTTCCATACATTACCAAGTACTGATTATACAATGGTAAACAGACATTCTCTGCTTCCAGCCAAAGAACAAAACAGGCATTCAGAGCAAAACAAAACAAATACGTGAATATAAAACTATAGCTATAATGAGTACTACAGAGACATCTCGTATGACAAGCATATATTTTAGGGAGTTTTTGTTTGTTTCTATTCTAAACTTAGGTTAGGAATGACTTCCTTGAGGAAATGTGTTTCTTGAGTTAGTATTTGAAAGATGAATGAGAATTAACTAGCTGAAGGGAGGAGGAACAATCCAAAAAGAGAAAATAACACATGCAAAAGCCCTGTGGCAGGAAGAATATGGTGAGCCGAAGGGCTGGAGGAAGATCAGAAGACAGCCAGTGTAAATGCAGCAGAGAGCATGATAGGAAGGGCATGGGATGAAGTGAAGTGGGAGGATGCTTTGGGTGTGAAGTGAAGGGGAGTGGGGGGCAGAGGGGAACCTTGAGGGCTCTGGCCCAGCGGCACCTGATTCTGTCCATGGTAGTACATGCAATAGAAGCTGCAGGTGTCTTACATTAACCTATAAATAGCTTTTCTTATAAGCATCAGTGGTTGTAGTATTCTCAGAGAATCAGCAGAAAAATCTGTAAGACGTTCATTTGTTTTCATCCATCTTTTTAAAAGTCCCTTCACAAGTGTCACTGTTTGGGCCGCCATCACCACCCCTACTCCATTCCTAGAGCAGCAAGGATACCACTTTTTTACCCTATTGCATTTTGATACTTTAGATCATGTTTTTCCCTAAAGAAAAGAAAAAAAATATTTGAAAGCTCCTTATTTATTATTCACCAGGTCCCTTTCCATGCAGTTGATGTGGAGGAGAGTCAAACCTTGGGGCGTTTTGCTTTTGAAAGTGAAATGCCCCGGCCCTCAAACACCGGCTCTTTCATTTATCTGGTACACACAGGTACCTGGGGAGGCCTTGTTTCTCTCCTAAGATCTTTGCTTTTTTCAAAGGTTGAGAAAACTCTTAAAGAAATTACCCTCGTACTGCACAAAGATCATTCCCAGTAAAGAGATTTCGGTGCCCATTAACACCTGGGGCGCCTCCCCTACCCGTGGCTACGACTGTGGCCTGTGGGCCTCATTCATTCTGTGCCTCCTCCTGGATCTCTGACTGCAGAGCCCAGTGCAGGACATCTGAGCTTTGTGTTCTTTACTTTCAAGCCCGAACAAGGGCCCCGGCCGAGATGGATTTGTTCGGCACCAAGATCACAGCTCTCATTGTCTGGGGAGTTGCCAAGGCTGCTGTCCTCTGAGCCCAGCGTTTACAACAACACCCCTGTCGCTGCTCTTACTACTCTGCAGCAGGCTGAGCAGTGCTTGTATTCTTGCCCCCTTTCCCCTAAGTCTCAAAAGGCTCCAATTTTACTGAAATGTAATTTTGTATCCTGGGTTGAAAGAAATGATCGCTAAGTGTTTCTGATTGTCCAATTTATTTTTAAGAGGCACAGATCTATCTAAAAGCAACCTAATAGTCTTATTTATTTTTATATTGTGAAGTAGGAGTCTTATCATCGCTGAATTGTTTAAAATTCAAAAGCTTGCCCCAGCGTGTCGTAGCAATGTGAGTGAATCTTTATTGATTGTCTCGAGGCAGTGTTGGTCCAGAGAGTACTCTTTATTCTTGTTTTGTTTTGCTTTTCTGAACTGTTATTCTTTTCTAAAAATACAGAAAATAATGAAAAGTATAAAGAAAAAATCAGAATTGCTCATAATTTTACTACCCAGAAATCCACCAACAACATACGGGGTATTTCTTTTCTGTATTATTTGTTAAATATCTTTTATTCATAAAATTAGTATTATTATATACCTATAGCTTTGTTATTTTGCTTTATTTTTTTAACTTAATGCTACATCATGTTTTTCCCCTATTTAAAAGTCATTTAAAATCAGTTTTTTGCATAAATAACATATTCTTTGCTTGGCTAGACCATGATCTGACTTATTCTCTTGCAGTGGGAAGAGGAAAGGAACTTTGGTGCATCCCTGTTACTCCCAGGCCTAAAGCAAAAGAACTCGGTGGGGCTGAGTTCCCAGTTGTATGGCTATGCACTTCTTGGTAAGCTAAGTGATCCTGATAAATCTTGTTCTTCGTGGACAGAACTGATGCATTTTTCTACTTGTAATAAACTTTTATTTCAGTATAACCATGAAATTCCAATAACAGCTTTCATTTTTAGATACAAAAATAGACCTTAATAGCCTTTCAGGTATGAGCTTATACTTTAAGAGACTGTAAAGAGGGTTCTAAAACCTGTTTACCACTGGTGAGGTGAAAACTAGTCCTCGTGGCTTTAGATCATATTTAGTGGTAATCAGTGTGAGAAAGGGATAAGGAAAGGAAAGTTCTGGCCCTCTTTTGGGAGAACCAGCCAGTAAAATCTTTCCCAGTACTAAAAAGGTCTTTCTGTTTCTTTTAGACCTAAAGTCCAGGAGGTAAGAAATTAAGAGTTAGTGTTGAACGCATATCCTTGGTATTATTTCCAGGTGAGCGAAGGGACACTCAGCACATCTAGTAGCACTTTGGGAAAGCAGAGAGATTCATTGGCACAAGGTGACTGTTCCATGCAGGGGGATGGCTCCTTTACTTTCACGCCCTGATTGCATTGCAAGTCAGGTCAGGGGGAACGAAGCCTCAGAACCTGGGTTGTGTAGAATCAGGGCAGATAACATGTATCCTAACTGTGTGTAAAATGTGCCCTGATTTACAGAAGTCTGTTAAATGCATATTATTTCACTATGGTTCCATTCTCTCTCTTGAGTAGACAGGCTGTTTCAGAAGGCACCTTCTCTTGACCATACGCTGCTTTGACTTACCTTCATTTTATGGAAATCATCAAAGTTTCCGCAGTTTTAAAATTGATCTTCACTGGCAACATGTTGGTGTGGCATTCTTAGATGCCGGTTCTGATACAGACTGATGTAGGGAGAGGAATTTCAGAGTTTATCAAATGGCTGTCAGATTAGCAAAGGATTGACGGCTCCTTTTAAACGTCATTTTCTCCTTTACACCATCTACTTTTTTGCTATTGACTTACGTGGTCTGCCCTTACCTTCAGGTGAGCACTCAGGGCTATTAGACTGTAGGTAAACTGTTGAGGGAGTTGTCAGGGCTAAGAAAAAGGACGTTGTTGCTGCTGTTTCTGCGCAGAGGCCTTGGTGCTTGGGGACTGGTAGCTGTCCCATCAAAAGCCCTTTGCTCTCACCGTGTCCTGTGCTGTGCAGCCTCACTCAGCCCCAGTGGAAGCAGCTTCCCAGAATGTGACTGCAGTCCAGCCCCAAGCATCTTAAAAGGCTAAAATTAGCCGTCACCTGATAAGCTTTGTCTATTTATGTCCTACTACAGCCTTCCCAAATCCTCCTTCCCAGAAAAGATAAGTGAAGGTGGCTTTAAGACCTGGCAGCTCAAGGTGACTTTGGCCATTAGTGCAGAGAGGGCTTCTGTTCCACAGAAACACAGAGACAGCCCCCCACCCCACACGAGGACCCTGTGTCTAGAGTCCACATCTTAAGCTCCAGTTGTGATGGTTTGAGGCACCAAGAAACACATTCATGTCCCAGGATCCAAAAAAGATGATGAAGACTTTATGATTTAAGTACTGATGAAGTTCAAATAAAGGAAGAAAGAACAAAATGAGGTGGTTGGTTTTTTGTTTTTTTTTTTCCATAAGAATAGTTGATGGGAGGTGTTTTGGAGCATTTTGAAAAATGTCAAACATTTGCTGGCAGGGAAAGTTGTCATATGTTGACAAGATATTCACTGTAGGAGAGTTGTGGGATTTCTTTTTCTGAGGAAGATTTTGTTCTTGAAGCAAAAATAGTATTTCAGTTGTTTGACTCGTTTTATAAGAGTAGTTCCACTTAAAGAGACAGCTATATCAATCTCTCTAATAAATTCCCTTCCGCCCTGTGATTCATACATCCTCATGATAATTTCTTCCAGCCCAAATCAAAAAGAAGAAAAGCAGATCCATACAATTTTATATTAAAAATGGATTCAGTGAATTTCAGCGTATTTTTCATCGTCTGTCTGAAATGGCACCAAGGCGCTGGATGGGCTGAGGCTCTTGGTACAAATTGGAGATGCTTCTTCTCCATTTCTAGAGTGGCCAGGTGCACATTCACTTTTGCTTTCGAGTCTTCAGCCTCAGACATGGTGGGAAGCCATAGCTGAGGCTTCTTCATTATTCTTTTTGGCCACAGGGAAGGTGGAGTTGCAGCGAGGGCTGCGGGCTGTGTACCATAACATGCCCCTGCTGTGGCAACCCGGCTACCTTGACAGAGCCCTTCAAGTGATGGAGAAGGTGGCCTCGTCCCCGGAGGATGGAAAGCTATGTGCAGAAGCGGTACGTCCCTCGGCCCTAATCCAGTGAGCTTTAGCAGTCTCCTGTTCCTTGTAAGCCAGCCTGTGAATTTGTTTGCATGGTCTTCCCCTCCCCCGACTTCCTTTACTTCTGTAGAATCATGTACTTACCTGGTTGAAAGGAATGAAAAACCGTGCAGATTCTCAGTGTTACTGACAACAAGTATTAGAGGACAAGATTACTGTTGATCCTATAGCTCACTGTTTGGGAGGAGCACTATTCCTCTTCCCCCAAATTTAAACTGAGTTCAGTAAAATACTGCCCACTCCACTGCCCCTTCCCCTGGTAAAATCTGAGTGGTACCTCAAAAAGAAGTTAATGTTTCATTTTTAATTTTTGGCATTTCTGTACCCTTGTAGTCCCGGGAGACTCCATGGCAATTATGTTCACCCATAAAAGCCTTCAAGAAACGAATCTAGGGACTAGAGATGGCACAGTCTTGTTTTGCTTCCATCACACCATTCTGTGGTGGTGAAATGGGGATCAGATGTTCCTTTCAGAGTTCTGAGGGGTTCACTTTGCACTAGGCAGCTATCTTCGCACCAGCCCCCATATGCGTCTCTCAATCACCTGGGACTCTGGAGCCTAGGAAGCCACTGGACTCAGCTCAGCTCAGGCTTGAGGATGCATCCTTACGCCCCACAGGCAGCCAATGTCTGCTCCTGTCCAAGCAGCTGTCACGGGAGGGGACCTGGCTGGACGTTGTTTGTTGCATTACCAGGGTGTTAAAGTTAACTTTGAGCTCATTCTTGGTTTTGCCTTGACGCCAGTCACTAGGACTCACTCCTTGGCTTCATTCTAGGCGTGAGATGCATCCGTCTGGTACCTGTATTGACCAGATACTAATGTCTAATGGATTAACATGTTCTTTGGCAGACACTGGTAACAGAACGTACACATTCCTAGACATGGATTCATACTTAGCCCTGCTGTAGTCAATTCTAGTGGTCAGAAACACAATATTACATAGAAATCCTGTGCCAGGGAAATACTCCTTCCAATCTGAGCCAGATTTGCATACTTTGTGATCTGTCTTAATAGGAATGTGATTCCCAATGTCAGCAAGATTGGAATATATGTTGGATTTGGGTATCAGGTATTAAAGGGCCTTAGTGTTTTCTGGATTGTTGTTCTAATGCGACATGGTCTGAATTAATCAGTGTCCAGGCAGGTGTTCGTGCTGGCCTTGAGGTTGTAGAACCTCTGGGGATTAGGCCCACATTGGTCGAGGGAAGGTGTGCCCCAAAGTGGATGTGGTGGGGGAGAGAGGCTGAAACAAAAAGAAACCTTCTGTTTTATAATTTCCTTACCTTACAAGTTTACAGAAATCACCTTCTTAGAGTGAATTCCACGTATGCCTGTCAAGTCCCTATCAGCGACTTGTGTGGGTTGTGTGGCTCCCTAAGTTACAGACGCCCCATGAGCTACACTCTTTCTGTGAAGGAAGCTTGCTGGGTTCAGAGGCTCTCCCGCACATTCAGAATGGTTCTCTGTTGGTTGTGCTCTGCGGTGGTTTTTCTCCTCCCAGTTGCAAACCGGTTGAGGAAGAACGCTGACGTGGAAGAGGGGATTCTTTGAGTCCCCATGGAACTTAATGTTTGGATCCCTCCCTGGCTGACTAAAGGTGAAATCCGATGCCCCTCTGCTGATTCATACACAGATGATTCTGAGCTTGCTTATTCGTGCCACAGTTTTGGGCTAGGTTGTCCCTGCCATCGGACGGGGTATTCCTGATGTAAAATCATAGCCACATCTCTTTCTGATAACTTTCTAAGAGCAAGAGTTCACAGGTTTGCAGACTCCAGGTGTCCCTTCCCTTCCCTTGCCCAGCCTCTCTTCGCGGTGTGTTTTCAGGGCCACGGGGTGTTTAGTCCCTGCCCCTCTTTCTGCTCCACAGCTGGCTGTGCTGGACAGAACGCTGACGGCTCTGACTGCCCCGGCCCCGCAGTCTTCAGAGGAACAGCCCCGAGAAGGGGAAGACGGCCAGGGCTCAGGAGACCTGCTAGAGCAGCTGGACATAGAGGAGACGGAACAGTCCAAGCTTCCCCGGTACCTGGAACAGTTTAAGGTGCGTCGTAGCAGAACAGAGCCCCTCTCGGTTCTGGGCATCAAACGTGCTTCTCTGCCTTGCTGACAGGCAGTCCTCCCGTGCATCCCTGTCACACAAAGGCATGAAACACTGACATCGCAAATGAGGCTTCAAACAGGAAGCCGTCTTAAAAGAAACAAATGGAATTTTTATGTTCCTTTTTGTGCTTGAGCTAATGGGTCCCAGTTTTGTTCACTGGGGCAGCATGTTATTATGCAGTCATCCCTGACGCGCCTGATGGCTGGGCACTAGCCTGCCGCCCTGGAGCAGTCACCCAACTCCAGCTCCAGGTGGAAAGGATCTGGTCATTTGTCCATAGTGCACCAATGCGCTTCATGACCCAGAAACCCAAGTGGAAATTAGAGAGCCAGATCTGAGTATGTTGGAGATGAGATGCAGGCATTACCTCAGGCTTGGCTTTGTGTTGTGCACTCGGGCCCTCAGAATATTTTTTTGAACTGCATGGAAGATGTAAACGAGTTTCCACTGTTTCTTTTTCAAACAGCCAGGAGCGCTCAAGCTGCCTTTGGTAGCTTTCAACTACATGCCCCAAAATACTCTGTGATCCACGTCAGGGAAGAAGGGCTGTGTTTGCAGGTTAACCCCTTGGGCCCTTCCTTGCTTTGCTTCTCGTCTATTAAGTGCAAAGAGAAAAATGTGCTGCCTAAAGAATTTTTTTAAATAATATATTTATTTTTTATTGGTGTTCAATTTGCCAACATACAGAATAACACCCAGTGCTCATCCCGTCAAGTGCCCCCCTCAGTGCCCGTCGCCCATTCACCCCCACCCCCCGCCCTCCTCCCCTTCCACCACCCCTAGTTCATTTCCCAGAGTTAGAAGACCTTCCCAACCATGCCAGCTGTCCACGTGTGTCATTTTGGGGCAGAGACGTGTCATTTTGTGTGACCACCACAGAGATCTATTCAGCAATGCTCTGGAACAAACTACGGGACAGCTCTGTCCCCATGTTATGAGGACTCTTCTGTACTTGGAGCAGTAATTCTGTAAAGTCTTCATTCAAGGTCCCTCTTTTAGAATTTGAAAACTGAGAAAGAAAGGTTAATCGGTATTAGGTACACAGAGAATTGGCGGCTAATAACTTATGGACCTATCTGTGTACCTCTTAACTTTGCAGTGTAGGAAAGGCTAAAAAACAAAACGTGCTGCCACAACGCTCCTAAAAATGATTGCCTCTTCCTCTTACTTCTTACATATTTAATCACGGAGACTAGAAACCCATGATGCATTAAATTCTCAGTCCTCATTCTTCTATACATGCATTTTTTTTGAGAATCAAAAAAAAAAAAAAGAGAGACAAATATTTGTTAGCTCCCGGCTGAGTATTAGGCACCAGTGCATGACATTTGTCTTTACTGTAGCTCTGCGTGGCGGACACTGCTTTTCCTATGTTACATGACACCAGGCTGAGAGGAACTGGCCCATAAGTGACTGCTTCGGGATTTGAACCAGAAGTTCACGGACTCAGATTTGAGTCCTTCTCTGCTGTCCCAAGCTTTCTCCTTGGCCCCAAACCACGGGGAAAGTGACATCAGAAAGAAATAATTCTCACTGTACATTTCTTTTTCTTCCCGTTGCCTGAATTTTCATAGTCTCAGGTAATTTGTTTGGGGGTCCGGTCCCTTTTTACAGGACTGACCCATCACACTGGGCTGTAGCCACCCCTTGACGCGTGGATCCTGCCCACCTCCCGCCTCCTGTGGGAGCAGGCCTCGTCACCTGTGCCCCTGACTTCATTTGGTTATGGAACATGGGAATGTGTGGCATAGGCTACAGCTGGAGCCTTAAGTGGCTCTCTCCTGATGGTCTACATCTTGAAGCACTTAAGGGGATTAGTGTTTTTAGTCCTTTACTTCTCCAGGAATACAATACCCACCAAACTAAGATGCCATTTCAGATGGAGCCGTAAGCAGTCAGTTTGTAAAGGCTGACCTGCAATGGAGCACAGCAGGTGGGGGCTTGTAATAGTGCGAGCACTCATGGGAACTGTTTAGCATGCCATTAGTAAAAAAATTCTTGAAACGATTTCCATCTGTTGAAAGGAACCCTGGTTAGGCAAACATTTATCTCTATTATTCTGCAGGAAAAAAGATAGGGACGGCCTTGCTGCCATTTATCAGCAGCCTCTGCCATTTTGTGTGCACCTTAGAGCTCTTTGCCCTGGGACTTTGCTGCTTGGTTTGGTGCAAGTCGGGGGAAATGTGGATTTGTTATACTTGTGCTTTCTTTGTGGTTTAAAACAAGAAAGTACATGGAGCATCACGGCATATGGAGTTCCATTTACTGTTTGTGAGTGAAGGGAGAGAAATCACATGTGGTGCATCTTTGCAAAATTGCTGAACTGAACAAAAAGGGGGGGGCAAACACAGTGTCTAGATGACAGATTCCCAATATAATGCCTTTTCCTGCAAGCAGAATGTGTAGAGATTTTACAAGTGACTGCATCTCTTTTCCTCTTTGTCTTCTCCTACCTGCACCCTCCTCCCCACCCCACCCCCCTCTCCTCTTGTTCCTGCAGGACTTGCAGTCTAAGCTTGAGGCCCTGGGCAGAGTTGAGTCAGAGAGCCTTTTGGCTCTGACCACCCGGCTAATCCAGGAGCAGCTCCCCACCTGTGAAGCCGAGGACATGGCCACCTATGAGCAGAAGCTGCAGCAGTGGCATCTGGAGCGGGTGCACTTGATTCAGAGGGAGCAGGAGCAGAGGGAGAGGGCAAAGCGGGAACATGAGGCCCGGAGAGCAGCAAAGGCAGCTGCCTCACAGGCCCACGGGGCCCCAGCGCCCACCACCAGAGCCTCTCTAGAGCCCCGTCCTGGCATTCCCAGGGACCATGCAGCAGCCTCGGCCCCCTCTGCCTGCCTGTCCTCCTAAAGCAGGCCGTTTGTGGTATCAGAGCCACAGTGTTTAACGTCCTAAGGCAGCATGACTTCCCATGAGATGCTGAGAAAGGCTGCAGAACTGTGAGTGGCCAGTGGTCAGACTGAAGCCCCAGCTAAACACCTTAGATGCGGTGCATCCAAGGTGTATGGTGGGGTCAGGGATCGACGTTTAACACGGAAGGTCCCTGATCCGAGGGCACCCGGGAGGCTCAGCGGTGGAGTGTCTGCCTGTGGCTCAGGGCGTGACCCTCGGGTTCCGAGATTGAGTCCCGCATCGGGCTCCCTGCAGGGGCCTGCTTCTCCCTCTGCCTGTGTCTCTGCCTCTCTCTGTGTATCTCTCATGAATAAATAAATAAAATCTTCAAAAACGAAAGAAAGTTCCTGATCCATAGCAGTGGTGGAGGGAAGGGCCATGGTTCAACAACCTGGTGTCGAGCACAGGCTTCTGAATAGTCTCTCTCCCCCCAGGGGCAACTGTGTGTCCAGAGGCCTCGTCCCCCCAGCATCCTCCCCGCCTGAGCTGGGGGTGCGATGCCCACACATCTCACCTTTTCCCTCCCCCGTGTCTCCTCCCTGCGGACGTGAAGTTGGAAGAAATTGAGGACAAGAGTGAACACAGCACCACGAACCTACTGGCTTTCAAATTTCGGGCACCGCCACTGACCTGTTTAGAATGGAAGGCCTTTTGAGGAGGAAGCTAGCTCTAGCCCTGAAGCCCCCTTGGCTTGGCTTCTCCATCTTGTTGGGGTAACTTCTTTCCAAAGCATTCTCAGCTTCCCCAAGGAGGTAAAGGCTTGCCTCTTGTGTCCACACGTGCACACATGTACAACCTGTCAACACCCATTTCGGTTGGAGAAGTCGTAGAAAACTAGAAGCAGGCTGGGGCTTGTGTGCATGGGAGATGTGGGTGATTGTGCAACTGCAACCGTTGGGAGGTGGAAATTCCTTCCTGAAGTTTCTCTGTGAAAGGGGTCAGGGACGGCTCTTGCTTGCTGTGTAATTTTGCCTTTATGTACTGTGTCATGCTGCTACCCGAGCTTGTGCTCTTTGATCAGGAACCGGTAGAAATAAATGTTCTGGGATTCCTCTGCTGTGTTCTTTGTCTCAGGGAAGGGAGGGAAGGAGGAAGTCACACCTCGGTCTGGTTAGTGGGATCCTGAGCAACTCCTTTCTAACTTCCCTCGTCTCTCAGACTTGGGCACTCCCCACCACCACTGCAGCCACTAACCTTCACCAAGGACTGTGTGTGTGCCAACAACTCAAGCCACCCTGTGAGGGCGGTGGAAGTAACGCATCCTTGAATAAGGAAACAAACCGGGTGGCCCGAGGTGAGGCGCCCATGGCACACGCGGGGCCTTGTGGCTGAGCACGCCATGCCTGCTGCAGGTACAAGGTCAAGACCGCAAGCCAGCGGTGACATTCGATGTATGGGGGCAGGGATTTCTCAGCCACTCCCTTACTAATTCCAGAGGCAGGCTCAGGGTAGATCAGAAGGCCCGTTTAGCTCAGCGTCCCTGATGGTCCTGGCAGGAAGTGGCATGTTGACCTTTAGCTCACAACCTGTTTACTCTTGTTTCCTCCCCATCCGCCCTTGCCATGCTTGATCTCCAGTTTTTCTCAGAGTGGGGAGCATGGACACCCCTCAACCCCCAGCCACAGCAAGATACCTGAGGCTCCTCCTCTCGGGACTGTGTTGCCCTGGCGTCAACTTTGCATCTCGTTTCCACACCTTCTAGCCGGCTGCCCAGATCAGGTACATGTGTGGGATCTTTATTGCGCTCAACTTGCCATGGAGTCACGGGCCCTGAAAATTAGTTTATTAAAGTCGGTTTTTTCATTATTAATGAATTAGCATCAAGTGAATAGAGGCCAGAGATGCCACTATACATCCCATAGTGCACAAGGCAGCTCCCATGACAAGGAAGTGTCTGGCCCAAAATGTCAGGAGCGCCAGCCAAGGTCAGGAACCATGGCCGAGGGTCTGTGAGCAGGGCTTCCTCCGGCATGTTTGCGGCGATGCAGGTGGAACTCAAGAATGTGTGTGCAAATGGCTCATTTGTGAATGGCATTTCTGTGGCTAGAAAAATAACATTTAATTATTTTAATATCTAGTCTATTTAATGAAATAATGGTAACTTTTTATCTAAGTCAATGAGTATAAAATAATGCAGTAATACAGGGTGGGCCATTACTCTTCCTCAACAAGGTTCTGGATAAAAGGGTCAACGGTGATTGCATCCAGTGATATGTAACTGGGATCGGAAGCTGCCTTGATGGGAGCTGCACCGCTGCACCTAGTAACCTCGCTGGGCATGCATGGTGAGGAAGGGATGAAGCTTGAACCGGGCTCAGAAAATGTGGCATGGTTCTATTTTCGTTAAATGGTTAGTAGTAATCTTCAGAGCTGAACTTTTCGAACTCTGACGATAATTTTTTTTAAACCTTATGTTAGAGAATGGGGTAAGAGGAGTGCTTTTCAATGTCATTGTGACAGGGAAATTGCCTTTTATTCTAAATTACCACTTCTTCACTTGAGAGTAACCTTTCCTTTTCCCCGTCGAGTTGGCCTTTTTGCTGACGGTGCATGCTGCCTTGATGTCGTTCCCCATCTGGTTAACAGGAAGGTCCAAAAAGGCTGGTAGCCATGGCCCTGAGGGGGTGGCAGTTACCACTGGGATCTTTGTGTAAAACAGTTACGCTCAGGCTGTGTGGTTTTTTTGTTTTTTTTTTTTTTTTTTTAGGCTGTGTGTTTATTATGTATGAATGTTAGGGATTCCTGATCCAAGCTAGATGTGTTCGGAAGACAAAGTTTACTCTTAAAAGAAGCATCTGAAAATTAATTCCACTGCAGGCCTTAACGCTAGATCAAGGACTACATGGAAGACTTAGAAAGGATTTCCAAGAAGTACAGTATATTCTCTGATGTGCCAAATGGTAGGAGAGCTTCACTTGCCTTTTTGGTTTTTACAGTACTTCATGTCTGCAGAGTTCAAAGTTCTAAACCTTAAAACCCCCTCTCTGGTTAATATGCTGACATAGTAAGGGGAATCAAACCCATTACAAACCTCCTGCAGTGACAATGTGCTGGGACCCGGCGGGCATCCATGGTTCCCAGGCGCTGGCTCATCACTGTACCCATCTTGATTACAACAATTACCTTTAGCAACTCTTTGTGAAAGCCCATTTCTGCCGAGTTTAATTCCGCCTACTTGGGATGCCTGGGTGGCTCAGCGGTTGAGCATCTGCCTTTGGCCCTGGGCATGGTCCCAGGGTTCTGGGATCGAGTTCCACATCGGGCTCCCTGCGGGGAGCCTGCTTCTCCCTCTGCCTGTGTCTCTGCCTCTCTCTGTGTCTCTCATGAATAAATAAATGAATAAATCTTTAAAAAAATAATAATTCCACCTACTTAGAACGGCCCTGCAGGGCAGGGAGTACCACCTTCATTTTGCAGAGAAGACTGAAGCTTATGTGACTTGCCCAGTGCCACACCATTAGTAAATGGATTCATAGTGCTGGAAGCCAAGTACACCCGATTCCAAACCCACTTTTCAACAACCGCACCATGTAGCCACTGTGCCAACCTAAGAGAAGTATGTTCGTTCATTCAACAAACACTAAACACCAATTATGCGTCAGGCACTATTAAAGCAGTCGCCGAGGCTACAGCAAGGAACAAAGTAGACAAGGATCCGTTCCCTCGTGGTATTTACATTCTGCGGAAGGAGACTGTTCCTTCATGAGCACCCAATATGTCATGTGAAGAGGGAAAGCGGAGGCTGGCTAGGTGCTGGAGGTTGCAAGTTAAACCAGGTTGCTGAGGGACGCCTTCCCGGGAAGAGAACTTTCTACCGGAGACCAGTGAGGGTGAGGGTGAGGGTGAGCAGCATGGCGCTACCCATGGAGAAGTGTGGCCTACAGAGGAACCAGGCCCAAAGGCCCAGGTGCAAGCCTGCCTAGAGCGCCGGAGGTAGGCCGGGAGGCCAGTGTGGCTGCAGCAGGAAGTAGAAGGTGGAGGGTAGCAGGGGATGAGGCCAGACGGTGTTAGTAAGGGCGCTGGCCCTCACTCTGGGATGAGAACCCGTCGGAAGGTCCCATGGCGTGCTCCAACCTAATATTTTTGGGGGCTCACTAGTCTAGCTGCTGCTATGTGGTGAACGACCGTGGAGAGCAGAGTTGGGACACGGCACAGTCAGGAGGCTACCACGAGAATCCAGGGGAGAAACGATGGGCTTCGACAGAGGTGGTCACAGTAAGTGTGACGGGAAGGGGCCGGACTGGGTGTATTTGGAAAGAAGAGCCAGCAGGCCTGCTGACAGGCCAAGCACTTTTATCTGAGCAGCTGGAGTAATGTGCTTGCCATTCACTGAGATGGGAAAGCCCTGGGACAGAAGTAGTTTGGGGAGCTCAGGGGGCATGTTAAATTTGATTTGGGTTTTAAAGATCCTTATTCACCGTCTGCATGGGGTTCTTAATAGACAGCTGGATGTGAATTTGGAGATCAGAGAAGAGGTTCGGACTGGAGACCCCAGTTGCAAAAGTCATCAGCTTAAACCCACAGGAGTGCATTACAGTGACCTGCAGTTTGGATTTGAGGAGAGAGTTGGAGGGGGAAATGGAGCGGTGATGCCTATTTTTTATGGCAAGATCATCCCATGAAGCCATCCTCGTTGTGATGCTCCATCATCTGTGAAAATGTGGCCAGTAACACCGCCCGAACCACCCAGGACACCTGCTTGTCTTCTGGGAACTGGGTGTGACCAGGTCAGTCTGCACGTATGACTCCGTGAGTTTTCAAGACACACGGTGTAACATGAGAGGGGAGATGCTGACCTGGCATTAGGCAAGAGACCAGCAATTCCCGAGTGAGGAGTTTGTTGAAAGATCATTGTGGGGACACAGAGAAACATCTAGAATGAGCAAGGCAAGTATAAAGAGAAGGTGGAGTCGGTACTTCAGCAGACCTTTGTTGATTTACCCAGAAGACAGGAAAAAATGAACCCAAGAAAGCCACCTCCAGGGTCTAGAAAAGGACCAGCTGGAAGCGCATGACCTCCCTCCCCACTCCTGCTGCGCCCGAGTTCCAAGGGAGGGGGATAGGAAACCCAGGGAAGGGTCTGGGTAGGGTGAACAACTGGCAGGGCTTCCCGGGAGCCCACGGCCTCCTGAGACCCAGGACTCCCAGGGCCAGGATGGGGTCGTGCTGGACTAACCCACACGGCCCCGCACCCTCTGTTCCGGCCAGGACTTCTGGCACCGAGCAGTTTGGCCGTGGGATAGGAGGAGATGTACTTGGGCAGGTAGGATGGATGTACACAGATGTACATCTGGCGTGAGGACTTGCCGGCCTGACTGCTCCTGTGCTTGACCCCTCAGGTCCTGGAGGCAGCCCCAAAACCCTTCTGCCAAACAGCAACTTCCATCGGGACCAGTCGGAGAGTCACAGCGTTCTGAGGCACAATCGAAGACGGAAAGGAGCGCGTGTCACAAAGGGACATCCCCAGGACTCAGGACAGGCTGCAGGAGCCCTTCAAGGCCAAAGCATCCCCTCTGCAGACAGACAGGGCCAGGGCTGGAGGGCCCCTGGGGGGACTGAGATGCCAGGGGACCCCCCACCTGCCCCTCTGAGCTGAGTGCCCCCCTCCCCGATGTAACTGCTCCTGCTCCATTCGCCTGAGCTGTTGCCCTGCCCAGTGTGCTTTCTGCCCGACACCGCGTGCATGACACACACACCCAGCAGGCCTCAGCTTAGTCCTCGCTTGTGGTGCTTTTCCCACGTCCCCAGAGCCCACCCTTGAGTTCTGGGAGCCCTGGCACCCCAGTGGAGGGCAGCCCTTAGGCTTTGATTGTCTCCACAGGTCCCCACAGGACTAGCCACTGCCGGGTGTAGAGCGAAGGTCGTGGGCGCGAGGAGCCCAGAAAGTCCGTCTTGGGAGGGATCACTCAGATTGACCATCGTGCCGAGTCCTCTCATGTTACAGGGAAGTAAAGGAGCTTTCGATGGATAGAGGGAGGTCAGGCAGCCGGCTGTGGCCAAGCGAGGGTTGAGGCCTGGTTTTTGCTTTATGTAAGAAACCCTCCCTACCCTCCTTCATCTACACTGCTGTGCTTACTCATTCCGGTCTCCTTCACCTCCCAGTTTCTGCCCTTAGACTCCCCACATGCTCTAGGGGTGGGTTAGAGACGGTAACGACGCAGCACTCATTGGAGGAACACAAGGCCCTCTGCCAAAAGCCAGGGAGCCACTGAAAAAAACACAATCAGCCCTCGTGGACTCGTTCCCCTGCTGTGGGGGGCAAATCCCAACTCCCCATGAGCCCAACTCAGTGCACAAAACAAAGGACGGCACAGCACACACGGGAACTTTTGCCACTTTTGTATTTTATTGTGGAACTGAGTTTTTGTTTTTTTTTTTTTCTTTTACATCAAATATCCTCAATGGAAGAGGGGATATTGCACACAAATATCATAAAAGCACTACATATTACTTTCACTGAAAACTAATTTTCTACATTAGATATGACTGGATAGGATAGAAGTGATGCAGGATTATAAGACATAATACCATACACAGCTGCAGACTGACACAAACACCATTCAGAACGAGAGAGAGGAGTGGAGGTGCTTCTCAACCGGGCTCAAGACCACTTCTTTCCGGGGCTGGAAAGAGAAGGGCTGCATGCAGCGTGGGTAAGCACGACTCAGAACGGCTGCACGGTGTTCTGGAAAGGGCAGCCCGGTCTTGATGCCTCATCTTGATGGCTCCTGTTTGGGGAGCTCCAAACGAGTGCAGAGAAGCTATTTATTTATTTTTCCCTTCCTTTTCAAGTTTTTGATGCTGCCTTTTAAATTAATAAAGTCAGATTTTTTTTAATAGTCAATAGTTTTAATACCAGGTGAATAACCTAATTGCTTTCAAAGAAATGCTCATCCCTAGGCTGCTTTTGGTGTGTTGTTCAGTTGGTTAGAAGATAAAAGCTTACAGTTCCTTTCAAATGGAAACAAATCTTTTCTTCTAAAATCCGAAGCACAAAAAAAAAAAAAGTCATTAATCTAACTCACAATATCATTACCGAGCAAGAACCTCCTGTGACAGGTGACTAAAGAGAGGCAAGAAAAGCAATTTCAGAATTGTAGAGCAGCTCCTGAGAGCTGAAATTTGGTAATAGAGAGAAAAATGGAAGGTGGTAGATTTTCATTAGCAAATGATTGAATCTTATTAAATGAGTATTGAAAAGCTCCTAAACTGCATAAGCTATTGGAGACACTTAAAACATTCATATACACTGGGGAAACCATTCACTAGGATATGTAAGGTCTTAAAAAAAAAAAAAAAAGAATTTTTTTTTTTGAACTCCATGGAAAATGGGTGTTGGGGGTGGGGGAGGGGGTCAGTCATTGTATCCAGTCCCACCACAAGACTGAGAAAGCATGCATGGGGGTTGGGTTTTGAGAAAGGGGATAGAATTCATTAAAATTGAAAGTGGAGGATCACCTCTAACATTTAGTCTCTGTAGAATTTTTGCTTAAGAATACTACCAAAAGTTCATGATCATGAGTGCCCTCTCGATGGAATCTCATCATTGAAACAGAGCGTAAATTCCTTTCACTCGAATATTCAATCTGTACAACTGGATTAAGTAATCAGTATGAATAAAGCTCCTAGAAGTCTGTGTCCATCTTTAGCCCTCACCATGAATGTACACGGTACATTGTCATGGCTGTTACTAAACCAATTGTGTACTTATGGAACTAGCAAAATTAGGTTAGTCACACAGGTAGGAAAGGTGTCTGGAAGGACAGGAGGAACCTGCAATGCAAATCTCGACTTTCCTGGTATATTCCAGCTCTGTGGTCATCACTGAGAACAATGGATGGAAAAAGGTACTGATACATTTCATAGGAAAAAGAGCCAGCTGACCAGTGTCAGCTTTTGTATATTTGTTCCATTAAATCCCATAGCAAAAAGAAAAGAAAAAATAAAGGAGTAGGATAGAATGGTTCTAATTGAAGACTGGCTATAATTCTCCAAGATGTTTGTTGGTTTAAAGGCAAAATAATGCACCTGTTAAGTAAATTGAATTTGGGAAATTGGAAAATAATTCCTTCTTCTATCAAAGAAAAATCAAGCAGAGGTCTGGATTTGGCAAGAAGGCTGGAAATCAGTTTCTCTTCCCATGTATTACGTGGACACAACCAACTCAGCTTAATAACTAATCAGTAAATAATTATCATGAGTTCTCTTAGGTTGTCTCATAAAAGAAGTCTGAAGTAGGTAAGTTTATACTCAATAAAATCCATTTTTGTCACCTTGAGTTTTCCATTTTCTGTTAATTTTTTGTACCCTTTATCAATGTGTTGTTCTTAAGGACTCTAAAGAAATGGGGTAATAAATAAAAGCTGCATTTCTAGAGAAGCCTAAAAAAAATAGAATATTAATTTTTTAAAAAAAATTAAAACATTTGAAAAATGTAATTCACAGCATTAAGTAGACTGCAGAGGTCCTCCACGAGGGGACCCTGAAGAAGCATTGTTTAAACCCTCATAGTTGTTAGCAGTGCAAAACACACACTTACCAGACAAAAATCAACTAAAATGTTAATCTTGAAATAAATAACTAACATAGAAAATAAAATGAGGTCACTGTTCACTACTCCGTGGATCTTAAGAGTCTGCAGGAAACACAACGTGACAGAGCACAGCACAGGTGTCACTGAGAAGTTTGCCACATCTGAACACTGGGCGCATCGATCTGCAACTTGGAACTGGACGTCCGCTTAGACATGATCTGGTTTCCGGATTCAGAGTTCAATGACGACAACGATGGAAGTGATCTCTGAACTCTATGGGATGAATCGTCGGAGATGGGAATTCATTTGCTTTCAATGAATTATTTCTTTTATTTTTTTTTCCCAAAAAAAAAAAAAAAAGGAAAAAAGAAAGAAAATCCCAAAGCAAATTTTTGCTAGGGTTCTTTGAACTTGCCTTGGCTCTTCTACCTCATGGTTCAAGACCCTGAAAGAAGTATGTGGAATACCACAGGGTGACGTTAAAGGCCTGGAAAAGTAGCCTACCATGCCATTCTCCCCCACTCTCAAATAACACGTACTCAGATTTTTACGTTAGGGGGGACCAGGGAGTGGGAGGTATCACTATTCCTGGTAGTTATGGGTTTTAATAAATATTATTACTGCGATATCAGACTTCAATCTCACCAGAACTTCAAAAAACATTTTTTTTTTTGTCTTACGAAGGACTTGGGGGAAAAGAAAAAGGCTATCACTTGAAATTTTCTTTGCATTTTCCTGTAAATGAAAACATTTGTTAAAAAGTTCATCTATGAAAAGTTCTCACATATCTAAAAAAAAAATTCTTCTGTACACTTGTTCCCATGATACTGAAATTAATGGAAAATTAAAAAAAAAAAGAAAAAGCCAATGTAAGACAAAGGAAGGTAAATACTGTACACTTGCCGAGAAACCTCTTCCACCATAAGATTCACTGTTTTCCCAGTTCTGATCATAGAAGCCATTTCAATCTTGGAACTTGCCATAGTAAAGAAGCTACGAAAGGCTCAACTTGTTTGGCTGAGGGGCCATGGGCGCACCGAGGTGGTATTCAACACGCATGACTCAGCATCAAACCGCTGCACCCATCAGATCAGCTTCTAGGACCCCCACACGCGCACACACTTGCTCCGTGAACTGGAGTATCTATAATCCTACACGGATGTTTTATAAACTTGCGGTCTCACGTTAAAAAATAAGTGCATCAAGTATCTTTTGTACATTCAAGTCACTTTCTAAGGCAAATTGTCTACCGTATTTACTCCCAACCGCTTTGGTATTTGCTTGTTAATCGGGGTGGACTTGGGTGTTTCCGCATGCAGGTTAAGTGACTCCGAGTGGACTAACTGGGTGGACAAATGCTGGGAGCATGCCTTAGATCAATCTACTCGTGTGTCTGAAGAGTCTGAGAGTTCCGAATGGGGTTCAAACCACTCGCTCTTCCAGTCTGCGCTCTCTACATCATGTCGGTGCGCAGCCTTCAAACTGAAGGAGCTTAATTAAGGCGTGAAAAATCTCACATGCCCTCAGAACAAGTTCTGTTCCCTTCTTTGTTTCCTTTCGGCTAACTCGTTCTAGAAAATTGAGACCCTTTTTGATGCCTCAGACTGACACAAGTTGAAAACTTTGCCTATGTAGACTATAGAATACAGGCTGCGTGAGAAAACGCAGCCCTAAGTGCTGGTTATTCCCTCCTCCTTACCCCACACCTCGCTCTGTCTCCCTCTCTCTGGGTATCTCACCAGCACTCTCTACCATTACCTCTCCTTCTCTTGCATCCTTTTGCTTTCTCATTCTCCCTCTCTCCTGTGTTCTCTCTCATTGTGCGTGCGCGCGCTCTCTCTCTCTTTCTTTCTCTCTCTCTCTAAGACAAATGCCTCTACCTAGCGGAAGTCAGTTGGGTTTGCTAGTGCATGGTTTCCAAATGTTGAGCAGAGATGAACTGGGGTGGGTATTTTTGCAGTAACTTGAACCCTACTGTGGGAATACTGTTACTTCCCTTAGCAAATCAGCAAAAACTAAGAAATATTAGTGACTTGCATCACCATGACACAGTATAGCGTTTGGCAGGTAACAGTTCAGTGACTTATTTAGACGAATTGACTCTTTAGAAAAGGTGGCGTTTCAAATTGAAGAATTTCTGGAAACAAAGTTCAAATCCTGTGGTGTGGCTGGTCTTGGTTTTTTACAGTTCAATCTTGCATGCAGGGAAGGATTCATCTTGCATAACCACTGTGCTGCTGCTTGCTAAGACCATGATGTTGAGGTCCTGTTGTTTCTCGTGGGTCTCTTGGTACCATTCCCTCATCACTTCTGAGTCATGAGTAGGGATCAGGGTTACCTGCAGGGAGACAGAAAATAGTTGGTCAAGGGCAGAGCCAGAAACCAGAGGGGAAAAAATAGAACAATAATAAGGCTATGAGTCAGACCATTCAAAGGAGGGTGACGAGTGGGCAATTTCCTACTTTTTCTCCAATATGAAGGATTTTTCAACTTACATTTTCTAGGAATCAAAGCAGCAATGAATTAAGGTTTTCTGGGAGAGCTGAAGACGGGGACCAAAAAAGACCTCATGACCAGTCAATCAGTTCATCTACATTCACCATCAGGTGTTCAAATATTCAGTGTTAAGAGAAGAAGGGCTTCCGTGCAGGTGATATCACTTATATTTCCTATCACCCAGCTGAGCAATTTTGCATGAAAGATACTGTGTATTGAATCCAAGGAGCTTTAGTTATCATTGCTGCTCCATTGTGTGTAACTGATACTTCATCCTGAGATTAAAGATTTGTATCTTTGTGTGTGTGGCTGGGGGTGGTGGAGTGGCTGGCTCGTGGCTGGCTGGCTGGGTACTGGCTGGAATGGTAAAAATTCCATCTACTATTTATTAGGAGGCCACCAGGTGTTTCTCATGAGATGTAATATGCTTAACTAGCAAATAATTCTATTTAATATTATGCAAACAGTTTACTAGGTGACTGCAAAACCACGGGTAAAACTGATATAAGCAAAGATTCACAGCCAAAATAAGAGAGTGGTTCATAGCCCGTTTATGATGTTTGGGAGCTAGGAGGGGTCCTGTTGGGGACCATCCTCAGCAATGCTCCTGCGGGATTTCACATCGACAGGTGATTTTCTAAATGGCTGTATTTCTTGGTTTGGTCACATTCATGAAACACAAAGGAGAAAAGACAATTCCTTTGTAGCTCTCACATGGAAATATCATTTTGATTCATACATAAATATCCTTGGTATATTAGGGGGAAGGGCAAGGCATCTTGGGCCCGTTTTGTAGATAAGTGAATTATGCCTTAGGATGGTAAGGCTATGACTGTTGGTGGTGCCAGGAATAATATTCTAGACTTATCTTGTGTGTGTGAATCCACTTTGTCCTCAAGATATTTCACGTGTAAGAGAACCATGGGGTACCCCATGCGGATTCATAATCACACCGGTGGTTCTTTAAACATGTTTCCTTCCCTCTGCCTCTGGACACAGTTCCATGTGTGGTGTAGACACTGTCCCGGGGCTCTTACCTGCATGTTGCTGCCCCACTGGGCTTTCCCTTCCAACAAGGCATCCAGGACAGCCCGGCTGGGCTCCTCAGCAGCAGGGTCATTCCCACTCACCACGTAGTAGGATGACCTCACTCTCTTGAAAAACTCAACATCAACATTCTTACTATTGCTGTGATTGGGAATATAGCACAGGTCCAAATACACAGGGGGGCCTGGAGGCACAGCTGAGGGCTTGGAGGGCTTGGTGGTTCCCGGTCCTTTGGCAAATAAAGAGAAAAGCCAGGGTCACAGAAATGCAAAGAGACCCACTGGTCTGGTACTCCTTCCCTACTTATCCCCAAAAAGGTCCTGCAGGACATGCAGAGTGTACTGGGCATTTCCCTTTCTCTCTTGTAAAGGGCAACTGGAGAAAAGAGAACATGGCTGTTTACCATCTTAGCGGGAGAAACAAAGAATGGGATCGTTTCCCTCTGTGGACAACCCATTAGAAAGAAAAAAGAATTCCAAGGCCTTCCTAAACTATGGAACTAGAGAGCCATACTCCTCCTAAAAGAGCTGCCAACGTGCATCCTAATTTGAAAAGGGATCTAAGAAACATTTTTTTTTTTTGAAAGTCAGAAGGAAGACTCTGCGTGTGGTAAAAACCAGTGGAGCAACGTTAGCCATCCATGTTAGGATCTCCTGTGATAACAGTTCTGCCGATAGCAGAATATTATACCCCAACATTTGACTTAGCAAATGGCTCAGATATAAACTTCCTCTGACCTCCAAGGCCCCCAGAACTTGGCCTTGTTCATAAAGTGACGAAACACTGCATTCTGTCCTAGCACGGTGCTCTGGAAAGGCAGACATCTCTCCCGAGGCAAGCTGGCTACCAACCTTGGACGAGAAGATGGTTCGGAAAGGCACCTTTGGCTAACCACTCAAGACCTATCAGACCAGGAAAGGGGCATCTGGCCGCCGACATTCCCGGTCTAAATCAGAAAGCCCAGGCCAAGTCAAGATTCGGATTAACTCAGAACTTTCCTGGCACCTTGTCTGCTGAGTTGGCTTTCTGAGTTGTCCTGGCTTCAGGGTTTAAACTTTTTGGAACATTCTTAGAACTGGCATTCTAGGGCAGTGGTGCTCCAACCTAGCTGGGTAGTTAGCATCACCGAGCAAGCCTGATACTGATGCCCCAGTCCCACACCCCAGGGTCCAGCTTCACTGCTTTAAAAGCATCCCAAATAATGCTAATGTGCAGTCGGTTGAGACCCCTGCTGTAATGTCATTTAAAACATCAGCTGGATCCTACATACTTAATCCTCTTTCCTTTCTCCATAGGATAAAGGCTGTCACCACAGAGTCAAACCACCAGTGAATTCCACAACTGTCCAGTTTTACTTTTAGGAGTGGGGGAGTCACGAGAATCAGCCAAACTGCTCTTTGGATACACTAACTCATTTTAATGAATAACCAGCCATTTTAATGAATCTGAGCTACAAGGACTCAAAATGTCCATATTTGGGCCTACCAAACCAATTCTGACTGATCGCAGGAGTCCGTGAACTACAGTCCTAACAATTAAAAATGACCACGGCTTTGCCTGGTGCACTCCATGGCAACCATCAACACTGAATGAACGTTGCTCAGACATAGTAGAGAACTGACAGCCGTTGGCAAAGGCTGGTTTTAAAAATCACTTGATAATGCGGTTTTGTTGTTTTAGAAATCTATTGGAAAATTACCTTCAACGTAAATTCAAATTAACTCCTCTTTATTTGTTTCTTGGCCTTAAAATTAATCTCTTTAAAGGACACCAAAAGAAGAGAAAAATGTCTTAAAAACCCCCATTATGTGGGCTAGAGTGGCTCTATTTGGCAAGTTTGGTAGCAAATTTCAGTTGGTTTTTATCTGTTTGAAAGGATTTCATGTTTTCTCCCAAGTGCGGGTCAGTTGCCAACTCTTTCAGACCAAGAGATTCATTATCTGGTGGTTTTCCATTAATTCTAAGCGTGAACAAAATCAGTTTGTTTTCTGCATGCACGTACAAAGGAAATGTGATGAGAACGCAGGCTGGAAATTGATCTTCCATGTTGCTCAAAGTAAGACTTTGCAGCTATAAGTGATAGTTCCTAAAATGCACTGAATTTGAGAGTCCCAAGTTTCATCAATCAGATTTTTCCCCAAATAAATGAGAAATGTTATTCAAATTATTTTTTGCTGTACATGTTTGGGTCAATTAATATTACTCTGTGAACTGAGGTCCGAAATCCCTAATTGACTACTTAAAGCAAATAAAATATATTAATGGAAATCCCTGTGATTGGTTTGAAGCAAAGAAATAAAGCCGGGCCATTAGAAACTTGTTCCATCAAAAACCCAAGTCATTGCTGAGAACCTAATGAATAAGGGAATTAGGACCAAAACAGAAATGATCAGAAGTCAGGGATATCTCCTCCTAAGTGAATTTCAACCCGAAATAAAGGGGGGGGGGGAATAAGAAGAGCCTTTGACGCTTTTCTCTCAATTTGAACTGGGGACTGGTCAACTGAAATTATGATAGTCATTGGCCAATAAGAAAACAGAGCACTGCCTTTAATGTGGATGTAGCTCTAGCATGGCAAGTTGTTGTTTTTTTTTTTTAAATTTTTCTGATTAATTTTAAATGTTATAACTTCAAATTTGAAAATGTTATAATTTTACTTTAAAAATTTTTTTATAAAAAACTCGAATCTAAATCTTGGGCCTACACTGGTCACACCAAGCTTGGCTTGGCACTCTGGTTCTCCCTAAGCCTTTGGGAGCTCCCAGGCTGTCACCTTGGCTTGGTTCTGAGGCCAGGGTGCCTGACGCTAGCGCCAACACAGTCCTCCAGAGGAGCCTGGAACACACATCCTTGGTTCTGAAGGTTTAGAACAAGGCTGTGGTTGCTGTGTTGCAGGATGGAGCAAAGCCAGGAAACCGTGCCTGGTGAACCCCAGCTGCTCCGGGCCACATGCCGCACCAGCCTCAAGCCTACGTCTACGCCAGGCTGAGATCCACGCCTTCGGCAGAAGAGAATAGTTAAAGGGACGGGACTGTGGTACTCTCTCAGAGGCTCCAGGCAAAGTGGAATAGTTGTGGCCCACATCGGGGTGTCGGCCCTTCTACCTACCTGCAGCTGCAGTCTTTACCGATTTGGATGTGGAGGCATTGGCGGCATTCTTGGTGTCCTTGTCTTTCTCCTCCCCACGTGCAGCTTTGACCTCAGGAGTGGTAGTGGTTTTTGTTGCCTTTTCCACGGATTCCTTCTTCTTAGGAGAAGCCACTCTGGACACCTTATCTGAGGATTCTTTCAAGCCCCCTGGTTTGGGGGATGCTGCAGAGGGCTTAGACTTCCCATCACCCTTTTTGACAGGTGACGACGACTTGGTCTTTGTACCCGGCTTTTTGGTTTTGGTCTTCTCTTTCAGGTCTTTCTTCAGGGCTTTGCCCAGGTTCTGCTCAATAGCCAAGGCCTCCGGGTCCATCATGGACACGTCAGGGTGGCGTGGAGAAGGGCTTCGGTCCTGCATGGGGGCAGGAGGTGGGTCCATGTGTTTGTATGTGACGGTTTTGTCTGTGGGGATGGTTTCGGATTCATCTTCAGAGTCGATATTTGCATCTGCCGTGATGGAAGGGCACTCTTCGGTCTCCGGGGGGACATCAGAATCGGTCTGGGACGGAGCCGACTCGCTGACTGAGGTGGGAGGGGTTTCGTCACACTGTCGCCCCTGTGGCTTTCCTCCTGGAGGTGGTGGGGCACCCCCTGCTTGGGTGAGGGGCTTCTCGGATTCTTCAGTTGGCTCCTCACTGGCAAACCACTCGAGAGGATTGGGATTAATGAAGGAGGGCGAAAGTTCTGTCTTGGGATGCTTGTATTCACAGGAGGACACGAGGCATAAGTCGACATCCTGGCGGGCCTCTGAGGGGGACTTCTTTTCTGCAGTGTAGCACTGGTCTGAAGTCTCATAGGAATACGTCGCCGCTTGGGGGGTTCTGGTGATCTTCTCCACCGTCTCGTAACAGTACGTGGAAGCATCAGGGGCTCGTGTAGCTGTCGTAGACGCCTCATAGGAGTAGCTCTCGGGCTCAGGGTAACTGGCAATCTTCTCAGTGGTCTTGTAAGAGTAGCCGGAATCCCCAAGTGCGTGGCCAACATCTTCAGAGTCATCGTAGCCATTGCTGATGTCATCCAGGAGCCTCCTAGACCTCTCAGTCTTTTCATAGCTGAAACCACTCACTTCAGGGGTCCTCATGGTCTTCTCACTTGTTTCATAGCTGTACTCCGCCTCTTCAGGGGTCCGGGTGGTCTTCTCGGCAACGTCATAGGCATAGCCACCATCTTCAGGAGTCTTGGTGGTCTTCTCAGCGGTCTCGTAAGGGTAGCTGCTGTCACACGGCGATTTTGTGGTTCTCTCTGTCTTCTCATAGTAATAGTCACTCACGTCTGGGGCCCGGGTGGCTTTCTCATAAGACTCATAGTCGTAAACTTCTTCATCTGGGGACCTGGTTGTCTTCTCGGGCTTTTGATAGGCATAGCTGAAGTCACCAGGCGTTTTCCCTCCACTGTCCTTCTCCACACCGGACAAGGTCAGATCTCTGTTCAAGGCTAGCTGGTGTTGCATCGTATCGAATAACATCGAGGCACGGAAGCCGTAGGGCTCTGCGGATGCGGCATCCATCGGTGGAGGAGAGGAAGTGTGGCAAACTGCTATGTTCTCTTTGACGGCAGAGGTAGAATCTGAAAAGCTGGGTGAATACAAAGGAGAGGACTCTCTTGGGGTCAGTGGAGAGATATCAGATTTTGGTGAGAGCTTCTCTCCTTCTAGACTTTGCACTTTTTCTGAGGTGAGTGAGGCATATAAGGATATATCTCTGGGAGGAACGACATCGGATAGGGTGTCTTCTTGGAGAGGAGACGCTATCTGAGAGGGGGTGTGTGCTGAAGAGGTGGACGGGGAGGCCTCAACCTGAGACACTGAGATGAGCTCCGAAAGGTCATTGTCTTGGGTGTAGGAGGGCTCCTCCATCGGTGGTATCTTATGTGATAAACTCGAGTCCTGCATGTCAGAAGGACTGTAATCCACTTCGGTTGGCCCATTTTCAGTGATGTGAAGCATACCTGCACCCACTGTAGGGTGATCTGGGGACTGTCGACTAAAGTCCATAGCCAGGGAGTGCTCAGGGGACTCCTGGCCAAATTCAATAGACATTGAGGACTGTTCCGACCTGTGATCTTGGACTGGTGTCCTGGATTTGGCGGTTTTAGGGGAGAAATCCGGTGGAGAAATTGACATTGGTCTTGGACATTCCTCTTTAGATGGAGACATCTCTGTCTCCTGGAAAGTAGTCGGCGTTTGCACAACAGACACTGAAAGGGAGTCATCAACCTCTGTGGAATGTGGGGAGCCAACCTCGGCGTGCAGAGAAGGGGACACGTCATCTGTGGTGGGCTCTGGAAACGAGCTAGTAGCCACGGAGGCTGTGGAGACCGAGGCCACGCCCTCCATGTGAGAATACGTATCCTCTGCCACACCCTCATCCACCGGCGTAGCTGACTTGTCGGAGACCGTGCCTTCAGAAATGGACATCTTCGTGTCTTCCTTAAAAGATCCAAACTGGCTGACATCTATCTGTGTAGGAGACACCTCTCCCCCTAACTTCCTTTCATCCAAAGCCAGTCCAGATTGCGAACTCGTGACGTCGACATCGTCGGTTTTCTTTTCTTGACCAAAGTCTTCCTTTATCGGTATAAAGTCTGTGCTTTTCCTTTCCTCTTTGTCTTGGAAAAGACCAGTAGAAGTCATGTCAGAAACTGGACTTATTTCATCAGCAAAGCCTTGTTTTCCATCCTTTCCCTCAAAGGGGCTCTCAGCGCCTCTGCCAGAAGCCTGGTCATCGGCACTCAGAAAGCCTTCGTAGGCAGATTCGGATCCAATGAGGGGAGGGCTCCGTAAGGGAGACAAAACTTTTTCAATAGGAGATTCCGAGTCGGGCACAGGCTCATCCATGGGGCTTATGGAAGCCCTTTCATTCTCATCTTTGGCATCACTGAATTCAAAACTCACGGGAACTGCTTGTGGCTTTTCAATTACCTCTGTGGGGAGGTGCCCAGGTTTCTCTTCAGTGGGAGATTGGTAGTAAGGTGTATGGCCAGCACTGCCGGTTGCAGACTGAGACGGAGACACCACCTCCAGGGTCTTCTCCTCGGGACTAGCACAATGCTCTTCGACTACTTGGGTCACCTCGGGAGACACGGGGGCTGCTTCCGCCTCTGCGGAGACCTGGATCTCATTGGGGGTCAGAGAAAAGTTCACGCTGCGTTCACCCAGTGGGGTCTTTTCTACGGGTGATGGAGGAGATGGACTTGGGGACGGGCTCTTGGGTGGACTAAGTTTTTCTTCTGAAACTGCTGAGATGGTGTCTCTGATCGCCAGCGTGGCACCGGCCTTCAGGTCTTTCTCGTCGGCGCAGTAAGCATCCCGCAGGGCGGACTTGCTAAACTTGTCCTCCTCCATAGATGACGGTGGGGAGATGGTAGAGGCTGATGCGTTGTAGTCCTTCCCATCCGTGGCATCGGTTTTCGACCCTTCAGATAATCCGTTGAGGGACGCGACAGCGGGTTTGCAGTATTCCTGAGAATACAGCGAGGACTCGTATTTGGTGATGTTTACAAATTCTTGAGACGGGGACTCCGTCTCCTCGTTGTTGATTTCATCGCTCATCACGTCCCGAGGAGTAGACATCTCGTCCATCGGGGTGGGCTCACTGGAAATCTCGATGGTAGACTGAGTGTAGCCGGAGGTGGCAGTGAACTCTTCAGGCTGATCTTCTCGGTTCTCCTCATCAGAAGCGGTGGCCTCGCTCTCCGAGCCGCCAGGTAGAGTCTCATCGTGAATTGAGGATGCGGGTTCTCGGGCAGGCGACTGGGCTCCCGGTTGCTTGATGGCCGAGGCGAGGAACCCATACTGGTCCTCGACACCGCTCGCCTCCGCGGCCTTGTCCACCACGGCCATCACGTAATCTTCAGCCTCCGCTTTTTCCGGCTCGTATTCTTCTTCTCTGGCATCCTCAGCTCTGTCCTCCTCCTCACCCTCCTCCTCCGATTGTTCGGCTTCTCCTTTCTCCACTGCCTCGTCCATGTCTTCTTCCGCTCGGTCGTCTCCGCTGGCCAGAGACTCCCTCTTCTCCTTGACGTGCACATCGGCCTCAGCCTTGGCACTTTCCTCCTCCTCGGTGAGGCTGTGCTTGGAGGCGCTCACGCACACGGTTTCTTCCACGTCCTCTTCCGGCTCCTCGGCCTCCTCGGTCTCGGCCTTCTCTTCATAGTCTCCGGTCTCTGAGGATTCCTCAAAGCCCGCTCCTTCGTCTTCAAACTTTTCAGTGTCCTCCACCCCCTGCTTCTCGACTGGCTCCAGCTCCTCGGGGGTCTGTTCACACTCGCCCTCGCCTTCGGTGGTGGTGATTCCCTCGTCGGGAGACTCGGCGGGCCCTTTGATGACTTCGGTCTCTTTCTGGAGGACATAGGCTTCGACGGGCTCAGCGTCCTTCAGCTTCTCCTCGTCCTCGATCAGCTCCAGCTGAGGCTTCATGTCTTTCGCTACGTCGACCTCTTCGGCCTTTAACTCTTCAAAGTCCTTGGTCAGATCCTCAGGGGAGGACATGAGGGACCTCTCGGCCTCGAGCTCTTTGGCCGGGCCGGCGCCTGCTGCTCCAGCTGCTGCCACGGCCGCAGCGCCAGCCACCGAGCCAAGGGCGGCGGCCGCAGCTTCTGCCGTCTTGCCCTCCTTCTTGACGACCTTAACCTTCCCCTTCTCCTTTGGCTTCCCAGCAGCAACAGACTCTTTTTTGACCGCCTCCTCCTTCTTGGGTACTTTTGGTTTTAATGCAGTTGGTTTTTTGGCTTCAGAGAGAGGAGTAGTTGATTTCTTTGTGTCTTTAGGAAGTTTCTTAATTTCCTTTTTGGGTTCCTTTTCTTCTTTTTTAATCTCCTTCTTCTCCTCCTTCTTAACCTCCTTCTTGGCTTCCTTCAGTGGGGTTTCTTTCTTAACCTCTTTCTTGGGTTCTTTTTTCTCTTCTTTCTTGACTTCTTTTTTCACTTCCTTTTTCACCTCTTCCTTTTTTGGTTTTTCTTCCTTCTTGATGGGTGTTTTGTCCTCCTTTTTAGCCACTTCTTTCTTTGGCTTTTCCTTCTCCTCTTTCTTTTCCTCAGATTTGGCCTTTGTTTCCTTTTTCACTGTCTTCTCCTTGGTGACTTTGGGTTTGACGTCTGTAGTGGGCTTTTCGGCCACCTCAGCCTTCACGGGAGGCAGCTCTTCTTTTTCTTTGCTGGGTACCTCCTTCTCGGTCACTGGGGGTTTGGTCTCTGTTTTTATCGGCTTGTCTTTTTTCACCGTTACCTTTTCTTTGCTTTCAACTTTGGGCGACTTTTCCACATGATTAGCTTTGGTGACTTCAGGGGTTTCCTCTTTAGACTCCTTGCGTACAGATTTGCTTGGCAGTGGTTTTGCGGCTGGCTTCAGACTTTCTCGGCTGTCTGCTCTCTGTTTCAGCTTCACCTGTTTCACGGCTGGAGCTGCCACCTGGCCAGTTAGGTCCTTCTGGGTGGCCAGCGGCTGTTTCAGAAAGTCTAAATGTTTGAGCTTTTCCAGTCCTTCCAGGATATTGTATTGGGTGCTATTGCCAGGAAACAGGACTCGAATGATTTTCTCTGCAGGGTTTGCCGGATGCCACACGATCAAAGAGGAGACTGAAGTTAGGTAGGAAATTGGGATATCTATTTCTTGACCATTAGGCAGGATTAGTTCAGCCTTGTCTTTGTTGGTACCAGTCCACTGCTGCATAAAATACTGCATTTCCTTGCTGCTCTTGACTGGGTTAAGGACATACATCTCCAGTTTACCAACTCCCATTTTTTGGAAAAGAATGACAGGATCGATGGTATTGCCTACACTTCTGAAAAGAGGTTCTGGCTTCATGGACAACTTATTTAGGTACTGGAGAGTGAAGCAAGCTTCCTCTATGCTTCTCTTCATCTTGATGTTTGGCTCTGGATTTTTCAGATTTTCAGGTACATTGAGAAATACAACTCCTAAGTCAGGGGAGATGAGGTTTTTCATCCAGTCACTATTTGTGGTGGAGCCCTGGGACTGTTCTTCCTCGAGCTCTGCAATCTTCCGCTGTAGCATGCTGTTTATTCCAGGCAAATTGTCATCCCCAATGTGGGTGAGTAGGATGGAGTCCACTCGGTCCAAGTGTCGGATGAGCTTCCAGAAGCAGGATTTCCTTTCGGATCCTCCATTGATGAGCATATTGAATCCATTCACGGCAAACAATGCAGAATCACCCCTCCCTCCTGGGAAAATGTAACAACACGGCTTGGAGAGCTTTAGAAATCCCCCCGATGTTGGAGGTTCTAGGATATCAAAGGGAGATGGGACTTCCACTGATTCTGAGAGATACTCGGTAAACTCGGAAAGTCCTTCCATTTCCGGCAATATTGAAGCTGAGTTGAGTTTAATGTTGATGAAGTCTTGGAGATTGTGTCTGTCGAGATTGGAGTTCTTCCAATCCCCTTCTTCAGGACAGAACAGGGTTAAGCTGGCTTTGTTGGCAGGATGGGTGGTGCTCAGTAATTCCCCAATCTGGGATTTAAAAAAAACAGTAATAAGGGAAGAAAGAAAAGTTTTAAGTGACTGTCATCACCGATCCATTACTACACATCACAGGGTCAATGTGTGCACAAGGGCTGTCTTTAGAGAAGCTAGCTGGGTAAATGCAGAAATATTTCCATTGTGGTAGGTGATCAGCCTCCATCCTGACCTCTCCCACTACTCCCTTCTGCCTCAGCCACCACTCCCCAACCACCAGCACCTCCTTGGGGACCCCTCCAGCCTGCGTCCCTGCCCAGCAGGGCAACTCCACACCCCTGCTCCAGTTTGAGGGCCAGTGACCATCTGAATGAGCCACAGTGGTTATGAAGTACTCTGGATAGCACCACTAGGTGCCTGCCATGCAAAAACGGCCTTTAAACAATCACAGAGGAGGTGCCCATGTGAGTCATTTCACCAGTTTATAAAATGTTTTCTTTTATTCCACTAGGCTTGACACACTAAAGGAGTTTAGATGCAGTGTACTAGTTGTTGACCACTTTTAGAATTTGGTGGATACAAAATAAAAAAGTTTGATGTGTTTTTCTTCCCCCAGGAGACAGGAAGTTCTAGATTGCAAATCACTACAAAAAAAACTACCGGTTCTGGCATCTTTAAAACACCAGTGAATCATTCGGTGGATTCTCTGCAAACCCATATACTTTGATTAAAGTCATGATGATTCAAACAAATGGATAATTTATCATGTGAGCAAGTGGCCATATTTGTCCCTTATTAGCCCATGTTTAAATCCACAGTGAGACATTCTACTTTCTCACACCTCCTGCTTTTCTCAGAGCAACCTGGGTGTGAGTAGCTAAGATCAAACTCGACTCAAAACTTTTCCAACGCATAGGATGGGACCATAGGATGGGAAGGCAGAGGAGCAAATCATGATCAAAACAGAGACCACAGTTTAATGAAAATGCTATCTTCTTTCTCACTGTGCATGATGGCCATATGTTAAATGGTCTTGGCTTACTACATAGTGAGGGAGAATCATGTCATCAACTCCAGTCTCCTGCCAGTTGCAGCACAGCTCATAAATCAGCCCAGAGTTCCAGTGAAAAGAGCTCTGCGTCTTTGATGGTTAACAGGGAAAGGGAAAGCAAAGACTTCGCTTGGCCCAGGCATCCCCAAGCCAGCAGGTCTGAACTCTGACCTTCCTGTGTTAGAGTGGTTTCCTCTGTCTCACACAACCTCCTAGACACTAACATCCCGAGGCGACTAGTGTGCATATGTGTAGGGGGGTAATTTATAGAATCTGGGTATTCCTACATTAGATTGCAGTAACATAGCCACTTGTGCTTTGTTAGTCTATCTGTCCTACATTTTGTTTGAAGGGTCACAAAAGAGCAAAATAATAAATCTTTGACTTTGCTGTTTTCCCCCGACTTGACAATTTTCTATAAAAGGGAGAAGAATCAACTGTTTCGGAAGGTAAGACAACTGAAAAAGCACGTCTCGGGGGAGCCTCTGCTCAGATTATCTGCTGAGCAAACAGGAGCACCAGATAAGGTCTGTCATCCAATAATTAGCACAGACCCTCATCACCCGTACTGTAGCACAATTAGGGTTCTCTCCATCCTTATTTTCATACAGAGTACGTGCACACTATCCATGCTTTATAATACATCTTAGGGGAGGAGAAATCTAGGAAAACCCAAAATGCTGTCTTTAATAATGAAATTTTAAAATTTAGTTCATTTCAGTTTTTAAAATTCCACCCTGAGGGGTGTGGCAGCTAAGGGTATGATCCAGCTATGTGTAGAGGGTATTGAAACACCAAGTTCAAAGAGAAGGTAAAAAATAAATAAATAAATAAATAAATAAATAAATAAATAAATAAATAAATAAATAAATAAAATAAAAAAATAAAAAAAAATTCCTTGGGAATACCTCCCTAACTTTCCATCTTTTCATTTCCAGCTGGGAAGTTCCTATGCAACGAAGGTAATGTGGCCCCAAAAGAAAGCAAGTTTGCACAGAATTTTGAGGAAGTCAAGGGTACTAAAAAACAGCAGAGAGCCTGATGAATAGAAAACCATGGAATATAAGGGAAAGTGGAGAAGAAAGTCAGCACACGTTCCTTTTGGAAAAGGAAAATCTGGTCTCTCTGGAGAAGCAGCAGCATACTGTGCACGATGAAGCAGAGAGCAGAGCTAGAGAGAGGCCTTCGGGAAGGAGACAGATGGACTAGGAGGCACAACCGCCACAGTCTTGGAGCTACACCATGGAAACAGAGTCCCCGCTTCCCCCCATTCCCCGAGCCAGCTTCCAGGCCGGTGTACCCACATGCACGCTGGGATGAGCGCCTCAGGCCAAAGACTACGTCCTAAGAGAGCCCACTCAATCCACACTTATGCAATGCACAGATGAGAGCAATAAGGAGGAGCCAGCAATGTTAGCAGGGGCCGGGAAACTCGTAAATCTCAGACTTGGAGACAGAGCCTTCCTCTAAAAGAGTGTGGAAGCTGTCATCATAGTAAATGGTAGTTAGCATAGCCCATTGTAGTAGAAGTTCCTCAACGGGAGGAAACACACCGTCTGTATCTCTGGATCGTTACGTGTGTTTCCCTGATACACCATCAGCTCCAGAGATGTTCATTAAACTGCACTGACACTGGCCACTTTGGTAGGTCCTGTCCTCCTGGGGTGGCTGCTCTGACCATGAACCTGTCAGTGCTTCTCAAGCACACGGATTGCTACCCTTCCCTTGTTCTTACGAATACAGATGAGACACATGACCGGAAGAACTATCGCCTGGGGGCAAAGACAGTCTTTTTTGTTAAATGTTAATGTCAAAATTCTAATTAAATGCAGGCATACTGGAAGAGGAAGGAAGATATGGAGAATAAATGACTTTACTGCAGATAATGAAATAAGATTTGAATTTCTAAACCACAGCCTACTCTAACTAGATTACCTTTTTGATTAGGTTACTTGCTTGAGCAATGAGGAAATACAGTGGACAATGTATCTCTGGGTTTTAGCAAGACATTTAACAAGATCTCTGAATGGGGCGATAGCAGAATTAGGTGGATTTGTAGCCAGTCATATAAATCCCACTGCTTAGCGTCAACCTGGACGGAAGTCTGCGATGGGATGCCTCAGGGCTCATGTGTGTCCTGTCGAGCACCGACTTGGATAAAAAAATGGTAGAGACAGGCTTATCAAATCTGTGGGTGGCATGAAAATGGGAGGGATAGCAAAATGTGGGATGGAAGCATTAAAACATTCACGGGGGCCCTTGACATTGGGATGATGACGGCTGAGTCAACTCTAACAGGATGGCACACCAAAGGGACACATGTAAGGGCCACTAAACCAGCGGGAGGGATAATGCAAAGGATTGGGAGATGCTGGCTTAACAGCAATATGCAGGGGGAAGACAGGGATTTTAGATGACAGTCAAATGGATTTATCATAAAGCTAAAGAAGCTTAAACTTCAAGGCTCCTCACTGGCAGGGTCCCCTCCCAAAGCCCTGTACTGAATCATTTTGTTTTCTTTTTCTGAAAGTGAGCCCCCGATTTATATAAATTACAGCACTCCCCCAAGCTGGCATCCCCTCCCCACTGACATTTAATTATGGATGTTGATGGTCAAAAGTTACTTTCAGACCTACTTATTAGTAGGTTGTATTGAAAACTACAGGAGTCCCTGCCACAGCATCCTAACCTGGTTAGAGACCCCTGGAGCATGGTGTTCGGTAGGAGTCATGACATTTGAAAGAAACTAGACCCAAACCAACCAACCAAACTGAAATTGCTGGCTCCTTTTCCTTGGCCATGAACCTCTAAATGCTAGACCTGAGCCCCTTGCTCTTCGAATACACTTCTCCCCGTAGATCACTTCATGTGTTTTTTAACATGCTGACGGCTTCCATACGTCTCCAGCCCAGCTGTTCGTTCCCTGAGCCCCTGACTCATGCATCTAATTGTCAGATGAGGCCAAGGCCCTAAAACATGACCAAGACAACTCATGATTTTCCCCCATCCCTTTCCTGCCAACAGGTTTGAAGGACAGTGACCAGAGAACCTAAGAAACGTTGACTATTATCTTCTTTTATGAAGAACAGTGTGCAGAACTGAAAATAATTGATCCGAAGGGAAAAAAACAACAACTGGCAGTGTTGGTGAAGGGTGTCTGAGATATCAAGTGGAAAAGGGAGCATATTCCTTCCTTAAAGATACAAAATGAGACACATAAGGAAAAAAACTCTCTTCGAGAGAGACTGAAAAATGTCCCAGGAGATGTGACTTCACTGTCCTCAGGTTTCAAGAAGGAATGGCTTAGCCAGATGACTCTTCTAGCTGTAAGTTCTGGTTTTGTAGTTGACCTCCGATGACAAAGATTCCTACAACCCGAAGCTCAAAATGCACTGGTAATTGTTATTTTTCAGTCCATTTATTTTTAGCTCTTTTTTTTTTTTAAATGCATCATTTTTGTGTTTCCTAAATGGTATTTCTGGTTTCTCTGGAACGACTAGCAGATATCAAGGACTGGATAAAAGGAGCAAAACTAAATACCAATGACCTTAAAGGTCCCTTTGTTCCTGAGTCATTCTGTACTCAAACCCTTTCTCCAAGGCCACACACCGTAGGCAATGGCTCTAAAGGGCTAGCGACCATGGTCTAGACCAGTGACTTCTAGTCCTGTGGGCTGAACTCTAGAGGCCTTGGGGGTAGGCAGATGACAAACTCTGGAGAAAGAGGGACAAAAGCCCTCGTTTTGAAGTGGTAAAGATGGCACCAGCCATGAGTGCGCCCTGGGGTCCCTTCCTGGGTGGGGTGGGGGGTGGGCAGGGCTGTCTGCCTCAGGCCCCAGCTGACATCACACCTTCTGAAAGTAGGGGCTTTAAACACTAAGTGAGTTGTTCCTTTTCACTGTTTTTCATTCCCCCCTCCCCCAGGTGGGTGGAGAGTGAAAGGTTGTTAAGTCACCTGGCCCAGAGTTTGAGTTTTCGAGAAGCCTTCAGGCAAGGCAAACAAAGCCGGGAGGTTTATTTACAGCTCTGGCCGGTGATGACAGGTACCCAGAGACTTTTCTGTGAAACCCAGGGCTAAGGAAGCTTAGATGCAGAAAGACAGATGGCCTTTTGCAACACGGGAGACTGAGAGGCCACCAACTCAGTTAAGTTCTCAGGAAGACGGCTTCAAGTGGAAAGTGGAGACTCCTCCTGGGCACGCATCCCTAAACCCCTCCATGTAGAAACCTGTCATCCATCCACCGTGGGTAGACGGGCCCGACCCCTAAGCTGATGGCCCCGAAAGGCCTAACTACCACACGAACAAAATGAAAGAGGCATGTTGTTTTCAAAAGAGAACTTCCCCCGCCAGGATACACCCTCAAGCAGAGATCACCAAATTCAACCCTTCAGTCTGATTTTACCAAATACCACTGATGCCACATGATATTCAACACCTCACATGCATCATCTTCGAATAAGATCTGTTCATTAGAAATACTAATGACCCAGGTTCAATCCAGCTACTTTAACCGTCTTGTTCTTGGGGCATGGATGTGCCCCATTTGGCTACATGCCTTCCTTTCTTGAGCCTTCTGTTTGTTGGGCTGCTCAAGCAGCCCAAGTTCAAACACCGGGACCAGGCATTAAAAAGTAAGAGCAAGCAGACCAGGAAAAGTACGTACAAATGATGAAGGACATGGGGGCAGGGAGATCCTACCTAAAGATGAAGAAATCTTCAGAGTATTCTTTCAGAAAAGGAGACCCCTGGGTTTTCTTTTGGGTTCTATCATCCCAAGTTTCTTTATTATTTTTGCCATCTGTGCAATACGGACTGTTCCAGTCCCCTCCACCTCATCCCCAGCACATTAAGAATGGCTCCAATTCATTACGGATGGGTGCCCCGAATCCTTTTGGTGCTCAGTCGTAGAACTACCAAATGTTGGATCATGCAGCTCTGCGTATTTCAAAGGACGTTTGACATCCCCTCCCCTCCAGCTCCATCCCCCGCTTTCAAAGTGGAGCCTAAGGCCACAACCAGAACCAAGCAACTGTGAAGCTTAGAGAGCCCACCTCTTGATCGGTGAAAATCTCTATGAAGTTCTGGAAGGAGAAAGAGCCGGACTGGAGAATGAGCTCTCCGGTATTCTCAAAGCACTGTCCGGTGAGCACGAGCAGCTTGTGTCGGGCAGCGTCCGTGATCATCAAGCGCACCTGAAACAAAGCACAGGGAGCAGGACGTGAGCCACACGCCCCCCCACCCGCCACCCCACGCTTCGTGCAGGGCTGGCCCTTGTCGGGCTCCACATCCGTTGCCCACCGAACCCATCCGTCCCCCCCCCCCGGGGAGGCGGACAGAGCCAAGGCTGTGGTCATGCAGTCAGCTGGCCCACAAACGCCACGTTCCATGTTCACGACAACCAAGCCACGAGTGGGGCCTGACGTCCTCCTAGATTCCTCGTCCTTCTCACAGCAGCCTGCACCGTTGAGTCACTGGCTCCACAGCCATGTCCGCTAGCAGCCCGCGGTCTGTGAGGCTCAGGGAGGTCCCACAGGCTGAGTCACCAAGCGCAGCCCCCCCACCCCCCGGCTGCTGCCCCTGGAAGCAGAGGTTTCCACAAGGGTCCCCGGCCAGCCCCTCCCTCGCAGGACCCCTTTCCTTCCACGCCACCCAGCAAACTCGCAGCTCCAAACACCATCCCCAGTAGGATCAGCAAGGTGCCTGCCACTGAACACGAACAAAGGGCTCCCCCTAAAAGGGAATCTTTTTTTTTTTTCTCCAAATGAGAATCTTTTAAATAGAAAGGTTTTGTAAATGGTTTGCACGAAAGGACTCTCTGTTCTTTGAGTGGCAGGAAGCCAGCCTGTCCTTCAGCAGAAACGCTGCTCCAAGCACCAAGGTACTGGTTCTGAGCACAGCTCGGCTCAGCACAGATCCACTGCCAGGCATCATGCTGACACCAAGGGAGGGGGACAAAAGTAAACAGGACATGACGCATGGCACCCAAGGACCCCAAGTTCCAGTCCAGGAAGCACCTGGCCCCAAGAGTCCCATCTGCTCCACAAGCAAGCCTGCATTCCTTGAGGAAATCCTTTATTTTTCCTTTCCCATTTCAAGTTGTCTTTACTTTCTGATTCTGTGAATTAGACCCCCGTTGGCCTCAACCTTGCGCCTTCATGGATTATCAAAGAGGCCCTGGTGACCTGGAGCCGATGGAGGTAGGATCACGACACGCTCCGTAATGATCGCCAGGAAGTGGAAGCAACCCACTCTCCATCAACCGATACATGAATAAACAAAATATGGTGCATCCACATCATGAAATAGTACTCGGTGGTAAAAAAGGAATGGCGTACAGATGGAGGCCACCGTGTGGACAACTCTTGAAAACATTATGCAGAATGGAGGAAAGCCAGACACAAAAGCCACCTCCCATGTGATTCCATCATCCAGGGTACTCGGAAGGGCCAAACCCACAGGGGCACAAAATTGATTGGAAGTTGCCAGCAACTGGGAGGAATGGGGCGTGCTGGCTGACGGTCTCGGGGGTTGTAAGGGGTGGCGGACACGCTGTGGGACAGACAGTGATGATGGGCACGCGGCTTTGTGAGAATCCTAAGAACCGATGAATCCCATGCTTCAAAAGGTGCATTTTATGGTATGGGAATTAGAGCCGAATTTGCTGAAAGAGGTTCAGAGCAGGGGCGGCAGGGGAGATGGAGCTAACGGAGGCCCCGTGGGCGGTGGCCCTTCCGTGTGCACGAGGCACGGCATCCAGAAGGTGCTCAGCCTGATCCAGAGCTGGGCAGAGGGAGCGGCCGCACTTGCTCCCGCCTGGGGGCCCGGGGCTCTGGGACTCGGCCCAGTTCTTAGCCTACCATCCTCCCCGAGACCCCAGACATTCTGGGCAATAATTCCAAACGCCAGTGACGATACATGAAGAAGAGCCACAGGCGCGGGTTTCAGTGGTCACAGCCCCAGCCCCGTGGCGGGTGGGCCGAGGCGCTCCTCGGCACCCTGCGGGGCTGTCCTGATCCCCGCTCCACGGAGGGCAGAGGGTGGAGGGGGGCCCGAGGGCACAGGACAATACAGGACTTGCTGGAGGCCTCCAGCAGCCAGGACCGGTGGGGAGGGGGCGCAGAGGGCTGCGCAGCAAGCCATTCTCCAGGCTGCACCCAGCCCCGCACCCCCCCAGGCCCTGCGGGGAGATGGGCCCACCTTACCTCAGTGCTCACAGCCTCGTCCGAGGGGTTGATCAGGACCACGGTCTCCAGGACGTCACTTCGGTGATGAAGGATCTTTTGTCCTGCGGACACAGGGGACAGACCGCAAGGGAGCCCTTAGCTTTCCCCAGGGAACGTGCGCTCCCGCCCCCTGTTCTCAGGCCACCCCCCTGCCGTGGCTTTCAGCCGAGACGGGTCCTAGACGCGGCCTTTGTCATGGTAATGGGGAGGCGCCCCCGCCGCCCTTCCCGGGAGATTAATTAGGAGCCGCTGCTGAATGGCAGCCCGCCCCTGGGCTGTGGGGGACAGGCAGTGGTGGTGCCCCAAGGCCTCCCTGAAGGGGCGAGCTTGGGGGGGGGGTCCACAGAGCCCACGGGCCTGGGGAGGACGTGGACAGACTCCCCCCTTCGGCATGGGACCCAAGGTGTGTGGGGGTGTGCGTGGCCAGGAGAGGCCTGCTGCCCAGACGCGGCGGGGATGAGACCCGTGGAAGGGGACCGGAGGGGCCAGGAGAGCGAGGCACAGGGCAGCTGGCGTCCCTCAGAGCTCGAGCACGCCACGTGGCTGCTGCGTGGACTGAGCGCGGACTTGGGTGCCACGGGGGATGGGGCGCTGGGCCGCCCCTCCGAGGACCCACGGAGGCCGAGGGACGTGCGCCCCACCCAGAACGGGCCAGAGGGGTGGCTGGAGGGCGAGCGAGCAGCGGGGGGGCCGGCGGCTGGGGCAGGGGCTCTGCGCGGGGTCACGTCACCCGGCGAAAACCTAACTAGTGCCACCGAGTTGTGCGCGTGAAAATGGGTAAGGTGGCAAGTTTTGTGGGTGGTTTTTCTCAATTTCCTCAGAACTTAAAGCAAAGTGATGACAGGCCCGAAGGGCGGCCCAGCACCTCTGGCTGGGTGGCCGGGGACGCATGGACGGCACCGCAGGCCCAGCTGGGGCCGCACCAGGAAGGCCCCCGAGCACCCAGAAAGCGCATGCCGACCTAGCCGGCCACACCCACGAGCCCGTCCTCCCCGCTGTCCCATGTCGCCCACGAGCCAGCAGGTGCCCGCCGGAGATGGAAGCAGCCCCCGCGACACCTGAGCGGCGTCGAGCCCCCCACCTGTCAGCATGGACACGCCGGCCAGAGACCTCAGTGGGGGCGCTGTGGGGACGCAGAGGCCGCGAGGGGCGGGGGCCAGCTCCAGGGCCACACGGCCGGCACGGGTGTGGACCTGGCTGGGGGGGGGGGTGGGATGTGGCAGGGACGGCACCAGACCCACAGCGGCAGGGACGCGCTTACGAAGCAAGAAGCTAGAAGGCATCACAAGGCTGTTGGCAAAAAAGCAAAAAGCAAAAAAAAAAGAAGAAAAAAAAGGTCAAAGGTAGCAGCAAACCCACACAAGGGAGGGGACAGTAAGAGAAGGTGTGTGAGGTCTTACTCCGAATGCCTGGAAACCAGGAAAGCCGCAGACAGGACAAGGCTGCGTGGCCAGAGCAGGCGGAGCCCCGAGCTCCCAGCAGGATGCCCGCGCTGGGCCACAGAGGGCGCAGGCACCCCAAGAGTCACAGCTCCCGCCCACCGGGCTCGGCTCTCAGGCCCCACAGCCCAAGGCGAGCGCGCCCACACCCCGGACACGGACACGCGGCGGAGGGTGGCCCCGTTCTCCCGAAGGCCCCGGGGTGCCCCGCTCACTGCCGCTGCACCACGTCACAGCCGCGGGGCCCTCCTCCCCCACGGCCACCTGCAGACCCTGGTGGGCTCAGGGGTTCCACGGGTGCCGCTCCTTAGGCCCATGGCTGGAAATACCGGGAACAGGGACACGGACGGCCGGGCGCGCCGCTGCCGCAGCTCCTCCAACAAAAGCCTTTTTATAGGATTGGATTTAAATGAAGGAGGGGATTTAGGGGGGGTTGGGGGAGAGGAGCTTGAAGCCCTTGCCCCAGGCCAGCTGCTGGCAGAGGCCTTCCCTGGCTGCCCAGGCCTCCTGGCGCCCCGCCTGCCCCCAGCCAGCTCTCCGGGTCGCCCGACGCCTGCGAAGCCACATATTTGCGGAATGTCTCACGCCGGGCCGCTGGCCAGGCATTCTGAGGGAGAGGCCACCACCCTCGCCTGCAAAGGTCTCGTTCAGCTGCTTCAGAGGTTCCCAGGAAAGAAAGACACGGGGCTGCAGCCTGCCCGCCCCCCCCCCCCATGACCGCAGGAGGCCACCGGCACAGCCCCGCTCAGCCTCGGTCTGCGGGAAGCAAACGCAGGGGCTCGCAAACGGCGGGGTCACCGCTTTGATAAAAAAAAGTCCCCCCGCCCCCCCAAAAAAAAACAGAAGAGAAAAAGAAACCGCCCTTTGACGGCTTCCCCACAGAACTCGGGGCAGCAGGGAGGGCCCGACCCTGGGGCAAGAGGCAGGTGCACAGCGGACAGAACAGAGGCCTGTCACGCCCCAGCCCCGATGCTGCAGGTCTTTGAGGCCACAGACGTCCATCTGCGTCCTGCCGGAGGCTCGGAGGCCCGAGCTAGTAATGGCTGAAACGCGGGGAGGGGTTTCCAGTCGTGCCAAGCCTGATCGATCATCTGAATCCATGCGTCTTCCAGGATCGCGCGGTTTCGGGGCTCGCTGGCTCGCGGCCCCCCCGGGGACCCTGAAATCTCGGGAGGCCAAGGGTCTTTGCCAGGGGATGCTTCTGGGGCCGCCCCCCACGGAGCCAAATGGCCGTGTGCAGCACAGGCTCTGCCTGGGTTCTGAAGAAGCCGCCAGGACTTGATCCAGGGACACCCGCCACTGAGGCGTGGCCACCACCAACCCCTGTCAACCCTGGAACCTGCCGATCGCCCACAGCCGACCCTGCAGCCCACACACCGGCCACGGGAGCCCAGGTGGTGACATGATCACAGCGGGGCCCAGCCCAAGGGAGGGGGTGCTGGATGCAAGTCCAGGACGCGCTGGTGGACGGGGAGGCCCCAACGACACCCCTGGGCTGCGGGTCCCTGCAGACGCCCCGCAGGACGGCAGTGACTCCGTGGGTCTCAGGATGGACACCGCGTTCCCGCTCCCACGGGCAGCACCACTCGAACGTGCTACCTCCAGCTTCCCGCGCAGCATGCCCTAGACACGGGAAGAGAAGGGACGAGGGGAGCCTCCATGTCCGCTCAGGACGGGGTGCCGGCACCGCTAGAACACACGCCCCGGGGACCGGGAGGGGCAGTGGGGCCGAGGGCTCCCCGGCCCCTCCACCGCGGCCCGGCCACACCTGCCCACCCCTCCGGCCCCCTCCCCAGCTGAAAACCAGACCCGATTCTTGACGGAAACGGAATCTGATCATCGTGATCAGCCCCACTAAAAAGTCCGATGCGAGGGAGCAGAAACTTGGAGAGGGTTAAAGAGGACTCTGGAGTTAGAGGCTTGGGATAAGGGACTGGGATTACTGGGATAAAAGCGAGGGCTGGAGGTGAAGCAAAGGCCACAGGCACAGACTGTTGTGGTTGGAGGGAGAATAGAAAGGAGGGAGGGAGGGCAGCGGGCAGGGAGGGAGGAGACAGAAAATAAAGGCCAGGCGTTGTCCAGCTCTCCCTCCACGCACCCAAGTGGATTTGCAAAGATGAAACCTCTCGCCTCCAACCTCCACTTCCATAAGAACACTTTCCAGGCCAAAGTTTAGCTAAATGGAGGAAATCAAGAAATGCAAGGAACTCTGTGCAGGGACTAAAAATTATTTACCAACAAGTCTGCCTGCAGCTTTTATTTTATTTATGTATTTATTAAAGATTGTATTTATTTACTCACGAGAGACCCAGAGAGAGAGGCAGAGACAAAGGCCGAGGGAGAAGCAGGCTCCATGCAGGGAGCCCAATGCAGGACTCGATCCCGGGAACCCGGGGTCACGCCCTGGGCTCAAGGCAGACCCTCAACCGCTGAGCCTCCCAGAGGCCCCTACCTGCAGCTTTTAATGACAGGTTTTTATTTGGAAGCTCGCACAGGCCTCGTTTCTGCAGGAACCCACGTGGTAACTCGAAGCAGACATGCTAAGCGAAGGAGGAGGCGTGCAGACAGTGGGCTGGCGTGGGGGGGGGGGGGCGCCCGCAGCAGCAAAGCTCTCCGGAATCTTCTTACAACTCAGGGACCCGGTGGGAAGGTAGGTCCTAGGCTCCCTGGGGGGGCGAGGGGGGGGTCCATGCAGCAACACGATTTCCAGCAGCCTCTGTTGGTTCTCCCCAACTCCCCCCCATCACTGCTATGCCAGGAAAACCAAGGGCAAGGCAGGGCCGGGGGTCACAGCTCCCTGGAGGCCACAGGAGCCCCCGCCCAGCAGAGGCTTCCCCGCTCCCAGGAGGGCGCTCCCCCCACGGACAAGCTGTCGGCGACCTGGACCATGATGCCACGGTCCCCAGGGGTGCACAGTGTGACCCAAGGCAGGTCCCCGCTGTGCCACAGACTGTCCCCCTGCCCCCCCCCCACCCCGAGGCGCACCCCAGTCCCTCCTGCCCCGACTTTCCTGGCAATGGTGCTGCTTCTCTATGGCAAACAGGCTCATTTGCTTCTGCCTCTGTTTCCCCTCCCGCGTCATCCCCGTGCCCGTCGCACTGCTCTCTAGTCCCGCGTGTGTTTAAGAGACGGAGAACCTGAATTCCACTGCGAACAAGCTCTGGAGCCTTCCTTCCTCGGTGATTCTTTTTCATTTAAACAAGTCGATCGTTGCTTAGGAATGAGACAGCTTCTCGAAGATTTTACCTTCGACACCCTCTGTGCAGCACAGAACTTAATCGCTACAGCATCTGAGTCTACACTGACTTTTCCCTGCATTTCTGGGCTTTGACCCTCTCTGTGCCGTGACCATGTAGTTTAGTGTCTCGTGTGTCTGCCCATCCCTCCACCCCATCCTTCTTGGGTTCTGCGCCGCCTTCTGCGCTACGTTTCCCTGAGCACCAGACGCCCAGCTAAGCACGTAACCCAAAGGGCCCGGCCTGCCAAGGCTGCCCCCTCGCCCCAACCACGCACCCTGCTCACGGTGCAGGTGGAGCCTTGCTCCTGGGGCAGAGGGAGCCCCACCTTGCCCTTCGCATCCCCTCCTGTTCTAAGCTCTGGGGGGCGGCTTGCACTGGGCACAG